GTTTGATTTATTCCATGCACGACGCCTGTGAAGATGGACATGCACGGAGTATGCGAACGGAGGTGGACTCCATGTTATCGCGGTTGGCGGAAAGTGGTTTTTACAATGATCTAAGCTTAGCTTGAGAAACTCCAGCTCCAATGCCCATCGGGAATTCAACATGTAGAGCTGGAGGTCAATGTACAAATGTACATTGTTGCCAGCAGTCTAAAAATGGCAGAGGCCGTGAAATTTGGCCTCAACACAACACAACACAATGTTTTTTCACATTTTAGTCGATCCGATGACGCGCACTGAACCGACAAATTATACAATGTAGCAACCTCGCAAGCGTGTGGGCGTCGTGTCAACGGTTACGCGCACTTCGCCAAATTAAAAACGAACTAGTATGTACTAAGGCCAAGTAAAACAAAAAATGTTTAGAGGTGAGAAAAAAAAAGGATGCAGCTTCAAAAAAGGATGCGGGCGGGGACGATCAACTGATTGGTTTCTCTTTTTTACTTGGCCTTAAAGGGAGTCTGACTATACATTGTACCACTAAGTTCAGGGGACATGATGAGAGAGGGTCCCTGTTTGATTTCAACTTTGCCCTAAATCATTTTGCCCCACATCAATTTGCCCCAGTAGTTAACTTTGAACCATGTCTGGTGATAGTTTATTGATACGCGGATCCTACACACAAGGATAAACAACTGTTCTGAGCTCCTGTACAAAATGCACTGAGCGGACTTGCCCTAATTGGTTAGACGCGTGATAATGGGCATTACAATGTACATGTAATATCCGTTGGCTTGCAATCGCAAATTTTCCAGGTGTGACATTGTGTTGGTTTTTTGCATGACATCTTAAACGGAAATATTCATAAAACTGTATGCAAAACTTCTCCTTATGTCATGTATGTAGTACATAATTCTTCCAAAATTGTTAAAAATTAATACTTCAGGATATAACAGATGGTATTGTGCAGTTTTTGTCTCCATAGATGAAGTATTTACCCAGAAAATAAACTTCAAATTTCGAGGAGAACACCATTTACCTAAATTTCGTTTTTAATTAGGCTTTCAACCCTAACTCCCTAGGCATTTTTGCTAAAATGTAACCTGAATCCTGCAAAATCCTCCAATTGGCCTCATGGAAAAATAGCATATAGCCTCAATCCTGCAAATTCCTCCATTATTTCTTGAATGTGGTTCTTGGAGGGATGACCACTGCCTCAATCCTGCAAAATCCTACGGCAGTGACTGTCAATATGTTGAGGCTTGGCCAGTGACAACCTGGAGCAGTGCAGACGATTTCAAGTATAATCAAGGACTAAATTTATGCATGGCTGAGCATAAACAACACAAGGTCCGGCCCAAGACCTTGACATAGTGCGTCCTCCGAAATCAGTAACGCACTTTTGCCATGTAACCTCAATCCTGCAAATTCCTCCAATTTGCAAAGAGGATTTTGAAGGATTCAGGGCAGTTAGGGTTAAGAAGTTTTAGACAGATGTGATCCCGAACCGATGAAACAAAAGCGGCTTTTCATTGTTCATTGTCTTGCTGAAGATATTGTGCTCGGTATTAACAATAACAGGGTTCTGCAGTTATCACTTATCAGAATTCAATAATAAAGACCAAAAACGTAGACTCATGAACATTCAAAATAAAATTGGCTGGCTTGACTGACTTTGACACCTGATCGGACACAGAAAGCCATGCAAATCTGAAAGCCACCGCGCGCAGGGGTCTTTGTTGACGAGCATTCATGGTGGTATATGCCACCAGTCACATGCCAGTATGGGCCGTTATCATGCGCGTAGACTCACACACCGTACAAATTTCATGACTGGCTCCTTTAGTGACACCTTACTTGCATGACTTGGCACAATTCAACTCTCCTGAACTTTGGTCGTGTACGACTCGTGTTTGTATTTTTTTGTCAAGTTTGTTGTTATTCACTATTCTGACACGAAATTAAAGGTCATTGTACCACTAAGTACAAGGGACATGAGGAAGGATCCCTGTTTTATTCAACTTTGCCCCACATCACTTTGCCCCAGTAGTTAACTTTGAACACATGCCTGGGTGATACTCCTGGCCCAAGAACTACATGTATCAGGCTCCGCTTACCCGGAACCCCAGGGTACCTGGGTGACAGAACTTCATGACTCTTGTGAAAGAAGTTCAAAAGTCAGTTAATTTTTCCCCATATCCCTTTAATAGAATTTCGGCTGAATATCGACCTTGCGAATTTGAAAATCTGACTTTGACTTCAATTATAGTAAATAAAGTTCCGAACTTTTAGACTTTCCAACCTACAGTATTTTGGAAAATTGACTTTGAATTCCAGACAACGTTAGCGTAGAACCAGACGAAGACACTTGTAAAATATCTTAACCCTAACCCCCAGCCCCAGGGTGATTTACTGGGAACCTTCCTCACCCTTGCATATTCCTACAATAGGCCTTTTCACAAACTGTAAACTGTACACATAAACAGTTGGACTCTGTTTATTTGCAGTTTATGCCTATAACCCAATGTAGTTTATTAGTGCAGTACTCATCCTAACAGATTCCAACCATGGAGGTACATGTAGAACCCTGGTGTGGGAGTTTAATGGGATGGTGATTGCTAGGGTTAAGTCCCAAAAACCAGTCACTGTGCGTGTTCAGTGTCGTGCCAGTACAATACTGAAAACAATGGGGGACCGGTTCGCGGTCAAATAGACACTGCCCTCCTATGAACAACCCATTGGCGCCCATTTTTAAATCATCGAGACAAATCTGTGAAAATTCCATTCTAAACCACTGTCAGCATCTTTCATTACATTGACCTTCAGAAATTGATACAGAGCCCTCTATTGGTGCCTTTCAGATACATGTAACTTGATTCAAAGTAGTGCAGTGAATGCCATAAGAATACATATGTACCTTAGGGGATAAGAGGCACCTAGTAATCACCCTCAAGTGTCAAAATAGTACTTACCAAAGTATATATCGACAACCACATTAATGGTATTTGTCTGTAAGAGGTGGGGTATTTGTATCGCAGACTTTAGGCTGAAATGTATACACATTTGTTTGACCTGGAACATTGACTTTGAAATTAACCTTTGATTAGGGGCAAGTCTTTGGTTATCCAACAGATGTGTGAACACTGGTTTTAATAAGGGAATAACAGTGTGAGGAGCCGGTCTTCACTGCGTGATAATGACCGGGTGTGGGGGTGACCGCTGTTTCGTCTCGGTCCATTAACAGCGGAAACCCCCAAACCTGGTCATTATCACGCAGTGAAGACCGGCTCCTCACACTGTTATTCCCATTAATAAATACCTTTTTAACAAAATAAACAGTTAAAATGCTCCAATTTTGTGACTGTCTTTCGGCGATATTTCCAGACTTGTTTGTGTTCATGTTCATGGGCCATATTTTAGCTTAACAGCTATAACGACGTAAACTCAACAGAAACTGCTGCCGTAGCGAAACAAATTACAACAATGTTTTCATACCTTTACCTGATGGAGGAAGCTGAAATCTCGTTTACACATTCCTTGTGTCAGGAATTACAAAGATGCTTGGTTTAGGAAAGGTAAATATGTCGGTGGGTGAAGTGTTCAAAGAAAATAAATCGTAGATCTACGCTTTCGTCGTAAACATCCTCAGTATATATACATGTACTGCACTGTACTGCTGTACGATGTCGTTTCAAAACTTCCTTATGCGCGCGCACACACGCTTCCCTAGCAACTGTGTTGCGTACGCGCGCGTCAGTCTCACGCGATAGGGGTTGAGCGCATGTGCAGTGCTCTATTGTTACAAGCTACCGCAGGACTGTTACTATATTTTGACCAATCATTGGCTTGCATGGGGCTGAACGGGGCTTGATCAATGCTGGTTCAGGGGCCATTTATTCGCTTGATCTTTGAAGCCGGTCCATTATCACCGTTAATGCCCGGCCACGTGATCGAGTCTTGACCAATCAGAAACCATCAACTCTCCAAGGTATTTATTAATCTGTGTTATTAATTAGCATCAAAATCGGAAATTTTAAGGTCACTCAAATGCTGATATTCACGTTCAAGTTAAAAAGGTTAATGCTGCCTACTCTTCACGTAAACCCAAACAGTTGGATTGTTGTAGAATTTGGATGTGAACAATGTACATATTGTGTCAGTGATAAAAATTGAAACTTCAAAAAAAAAAAATGGGAAAAAAAATCTGGTTTTTTTTGTACTCTCAGTCTCCAAAGCTATTTGTTCAGTCCATCCCTCAACAACAACAAAAACTACCTGTACGTGTAGACCTGTATGTACTGCATGACATGTAACATATCATTTTGAAAAAAAGGAATTTTGGCCTAAAAAAAACCCTGAACATTCTCACTATATGTATGTATGCTGGTACGTGTACACACTGTACCACTACCAGCATACATGTGTACTTGTAATATTTCTTTTGATGTGAAAACAAGTAGGCCTAAATCTGCGTACTTGTTGATCTCCTAGTGATGGGCCAAAAATGTAGTAAAAACTGTAGTACAAATACAAACTTGTATCGATTTCCTTGTGATTTGTAGCAAGTACTGGTACAATGTGTATGTACCGTACCTCTATGATCAATCCCTCAACAAGAGATGTCCATAATTTACTTGTAGACATACACTTACAACAGTTGAAAAAAGGATTTTTTGCCTTTAAAATACCTGAACAATCTCACTATATGCTGCATGTACATGTACATAATATTGTACGTATACACTTTGTACTGTACCAGCATACTTGTGCAATTTCTTTTGACGTGAAAACAAGTAGGCCTAAATCTGCATACAAGTACTTGTTGATCACTTTTGATGGGTCATTCAGTTAAAACTGTACACCACATAGTATGTGTACCTACATGTAATGGTGCATCAATGCTCTCTGAATCTAGGGTAAAGTGCAGGCACATGTACAATAGCTTGCCCTGCCTGTGTGCTGATAGTTTATCTGGAGTGATAGATAAACATTGAACCCAACTTGCCACATCATCAGCTCTATTCACAGCTGGCAGCCTGTCATGCATCTCATGCAAAGGAGGTGTGGCTACACTATAGTGGAGGATTTAACCATTGGCCGAACACTCTATAGTATAAAGGTTAACTGTATAGCGCAGCTTTGTACGCATGAACGAGCGCTGTCACAGAAGGCGTTTTCAGTCATTTGTGATTTATAAGTACTCTAAGCAACAAGTGGTTTTGAACAACTAGAACTTAGAGGCAATAAGTGGTCTGTTCCGTTTCACTTGACAAGACCACAAAAAACGTTCATCAAGATGACACAAGTTGCAAATGGTGTCGCAGGTCATGACATCAACAGCAATCCGGACCCTTATGGCATTCGCTCGCCAAAGGTAAGTACTAAATATGGAAAAAGAAAAGGAATTGACTATTTAATTGTGAGGGTTTTTTTGGTCCAGGCACAGTAGTGAACACTTGTAAAGGTATCGGTGTACAATGTCAGTTTTAATCTTTGGGAAGCTGTCCAAGGCTTTCGAGTCAACTCGTACCTTGGGCGACTCGTACCTTGGACAACTCGTACCTTGGACAACTCGTACCTTGGACATCTCGTACCTTGGATAACTCGTACCTTGGACAACTCGTACCTTCAATTAAGACGACTCGTACCATCAGAATAAAAAGTAGAGTACATGTACACTGTACGTGCGTGACTTAGTGTGTGGTTCCTTGACTCCGAAACGATACGATTCTTTTCAAGTCAAAGTTAATTTCCTTCTCACAGAATAACCAAAGTATACAAGAGCAGTCAGTACTTTTAAATGATTCAGTCCTTTCATAGCTATAAGTCTGAAAGTCTAAAATGTAAAAAATAAAATTCACAGATGGTTTATTCATCAACTGGTTTATTCGAAACATTTACAAATTGGGGGCGGGGGTTTGGCCAGATGTTTCGTCATAGTCCGACTTGTTGAAATGAAATCGATTCACGATGAACAGCAGACAAGCAATCGTCTCTTGAGCAGCGCAATGGTTCATCAGAAACCCGCAAGATCATCTGAAAAAAAAAAATAGCGGTAAACACATAGTTTTGGGATGAAAATATATCGATTCCGTAATACATGTATTTGCAATTTTTTAAGTAGGCCTAAGTTGAAAAACGGCAAACTGCAACAATGTCACCGTGCACGGACGGTCCGACTTGTTAAAATGAAATCAATTAATAATGGTGGACTAGCAGCAATTGTCTTTCGAGCAGTGCAGTGGTTCATCAGAAAACCGCAGGTTCATCTGTAAAAAAAAAATTAAAAAAATTGCGGTGAACACATAGTTTGGGATGAAAATTAGTATTTCCTAACAAAATTGGAAATATTTGTCAGTCCAAGATTCACGTCTTATCATTTTTGCGGGGAAAAAAAAGAAGTAGTTCAGGCGATTATAGGGATCAATAATAGAAAAATGTTGCAACCTGACGCCACTTTTTTCTTCATATATATATCATTTCAATGATGGTCATTTATTGCAAAAATGATGGTAAGACGTGAATCTTGGATAAAAACATCAGTTCCATAATATTTTCACGTAGCCTAAGTCTCTAAACGTAACGGCAGACTGCATCAATGTCACCGTTCACAGACGTCCATATTGACCGGTCAGCGCGGCGCAAGAACCGTGTCACTTTGCACGGATGCCGCGTGGGCCTGTGCATGCCGCGCACACAGTGCGTGTAAGCTGCCGCGGCCGGCTTCGCGCTTAATAAATTCTTCTTTTTTGGGGGAAAGAGAGCCTTTACCAAAAAGAGATTCACCTTTATTTTAATAAGCATTCCACTTTCAATGAGTTACGGTCCACTTTATTCAGCCTCGGATCATTATCCTGATTGACGGGGAAATCATTGACGGTACGACTTGTCTTATGCGTGATGGTACGAGTCGTCTTAACTGAAGGTACGACTTGCCGAAGGTACGAGTTGTCCAAGGTACGACTCGGTATAATGACGTCGAGTTGAAGGTACGAGTTGTCCAAGGTACGAGTTGCCCAAGGTACGAGATGACCTGTTACCCTGTCCAAGTACACGTAGGCCTACATGTAAGTTTAATGTTGAGATGCAAGTCATCTCTAGACTAGCTTTCTTGATGACGATGACGTAACTGGAGAAATATGGGGTGTTGGTTAACTCGGTCCAAACCAACTCGGTCCGAGTCAACTTGGAACCAACTCGGTCGGTGACCAACTACATGTACTGATGTAGGTCCCTAACCAACTTAGTCCATATGGGAAAATGTACACACACACAAAATTTAAATTTTTTTGTAGCAAGGCGATAACAAACCCGTGTTTTTATGCCCCGCGGCGAAGCCGAAGGGGCATTCTGTTTCCGCCTTGTCCTTCCATGGGTGGGTGGGTGGGTGGGTGGGTGTGTGTGTGTCCGGACAAATCTTGTCAGCGCGATAACTTGAGAAATACTTAACATATGAACTTCAAATTTGGTTTGTGTATTGTTCTTGGTAATCCTAAGAACCCTTTTGCATTTGGGGCCGAAAGGTCAAGGGTCAAGGTCACAGTGACTAAAACAAAAGAAGTTTTGTCAGCGCGATAACTTGAGAAATACTTTACATATGAACTTCAAATTTGGTTTGTGTATTGTTCTTGGTAATCTTAAGAAGCCTATTGCATTTGGGGTCAAAAGGTCAAGGGTCAAGGTCACAGTGGCTGAAACAATAGAAATTTTGTCAGCGTGATAACTTGAGAAATACTTTACATATGAACTTCTTATTTGGTTTGTGGATTGTCCTTGGCAATCCTAAGAAGCCTATTGCATTTGGGGCCAAAAGGTCAAGGGTCAAGGTCACAGTAGCTAAAACAAAAGAATTTTTGTCAGCACGATTACTTGAGAAATACTTTACACGTGAACTTCAAATTTGGTTTGTGGATCGTTCTTGGTAATCCAAATAGGCCTATTGCATGTGGGGTCGAAAGGTCAAGGGTCAAGGTCACAGTGGCTAAAACAATAGATCTTGTATTTATTCTGAGATCATAGGGATTAGGGATTAATTCATATAAAACCTACAGAAGACACTAATGCTGTCAGTGAACGTTCCATGTGACCAAGGTACATATAAGTTGATGTTAAAAGAGTGGTGTTATGTCATGGGAACAGTCACGGTTGCGGGGCATTTGTGTTTGTAAACACACCTGACTTGTTTTATTCAGTTCTTCAAAACTGATCTCTGTACGCAGTTTTGTTTCTGTTGCGTAAGTTTCTAGGCTATGTTACAGTATGTGGACAGCTCGGGGCGGGGATACCGTAGCTTGTTGGGCTTAAATAAACTGAGCTTTGAAATGAAAGTTTCGTGCATGACCTACGTGTACGTGTGCTGAGTCTAGGCAGGCTACCGGCGCGGCTGCCCATCGCTCGACCGGTACCCGTACCAGCTCAATGGACCCAGCGGCAAACCAGTCTCACAGTCACTCCGTATGTGTACGTACATGTACTCAGGTCACTCAGCGGGGAAAAAAGCAACATCGCCAATCGGTGCCAGGGACTTCGTTTGCCCTGCTCCTGGCCGCACAGCCGGTTGCACAGTCCGTGATTCAGAATGTAGTTTAAATCAGAGTGTGCCATTTTCACATAAATTATTATTTACTAGTTTATATAGAAGCCTAGTGCTACGATAATTAAATCCGAAATCCGTGAAGCTTACTATGGTGCCCAGCATGCACAGGCCTATTGAACATGCTGAAAGATAAGTGTACATGACAATATAGGCCTGATGGTTCTAAAAATGTCAGCTCTGCATATATATTGACTGATAATATTCCCTAATCAACTCTTAAACATGCTTTTACTGTTTGTACATGTATCCACATTAGATTGATTGCACACATTGTGATTATACCGTATGTGCAAATTGATGAGCAACTTTTGCTGTAGGCCCTATGGACTCTAATAGGCCCACTGTTCAGATGCACACCACAAATACTAGTCTAACCGAACACAACCCATCAAAGTTCAACAGCAGGTTTGTGTTTAAATCTGTTGGGATAGGTACAGTTCCCCTAAACAGATGGTCTTTTACACTGGGGTTGGCATACCTCCAGAAACTAAGTCCAACAGTGTGTGTGTACAATTTCCCATGTGGATGTTGGAATTTGCCTGAATGGGTAGGGTTCCTAGTAAATTAGGCTGGGGAGTTAGGGTTTTAATTAAGATTTTCTAGGGGCTAACATCAATTCTTCTTTTCAAAAAACAGTCAATCAAAAGTCAAAATTTGTATTCATTATCATCATGGAAAATTATATGGTTACTCGCATGACATTGGTTACTCACATTACCGGTTACTCGCATTACCTGTTACTCGCATTTCAATTTTTGATACCTCCTGATGACATCATGCTTGGTATCATTTTCAGTTCATTTATCAATTCAATTACCAAGGGAAGAAGGGAAATATGAAATGGCAAAGACTAATCAATTTCATTGAGCTGCAATATCAAAAACTTGATCTTTTGGTTACTCGCACACCAAATGATGCAACAAAATTGCATCCACACACTATACAAGAAGCCATGGTCCAGAAGTTAAAAGTTAAAAACAAACTCTGGACTGAATTTCAATTTTTTGGGGGTCATGTCTCTGTTTGCTTGGAATTGCCCAAAGGGAAATTCAAGCCCTCTGATTGTGCGTAGCTCCATGGTAGGAAGCAAGTGGCCAATACTGCAAGTCATGGCATTTACATTTAACTTTAGAATGGAAACAGACCAAGCAAATAGACTTGCTGTTTGGGTAAGGCAGGGCATGTGTGCAGAATTTCTCAAAACTATGCAAATATTCAATTCAAAGGTTAACTGTTGCAGGTACTACAGAATCTGTACACAAGTACCTGTACTAGTTCTTTACCACTGCAATTCCTTCGTAGGTGAACATGTACTGGTACTTTTTGCCCACAATCAAAAGGCTATGCTTTGATTCATCAATCCAATTGTTTTATTTTTCTACTGGTACCCAGTCTATGGAATATTCCCTTGCACAACAGGGGTCTGTATTTGGGCAGATTCAGTGATTAATTATTCACAGCAAGACTGTGTCTTGGCCTTGAGATTCGGACCATTATGCGGGTGCCTACTAAATCGGGTTTTCTCTAAATACGATAAATAAAACGTAGGCACTTGAACATGGTGAATTGTAACTCGCAACACTATGCGTCCGGTGGCTTTGAATTATCATTTTTTAAATAACGCTCATAATTGACCAATCGACAGCTTACATTGTAGTCCACATTTCAGTATGAAATGACATCATGTCGACTCCGATTGGATGCAGCTCGCAGGTTTGCATAAATTTGCATGCTTAGATTTCAGAAGTTGGCCCGGAGACAAAGAGGGCTCCATTGGACGACGGATGATACTCAGGCTAATCTAGGTACCGGTATTGCACTCAAGTATTTTAACCCACGGTATCTTTCACATCCTCCAGTGAACAAGAAATTTAACTAATAAGCCATTTGTGAGTTAATTTTGAATAAAATCTGAAACGTTGACTTAATTCAATGCTTCGCACGTTTTAACTTTGAATTCTCCCGACCAAAGAGAATGTTACTACCGGTATATCACGTGATTTGGGGCAAGCCTTTAACCCTACATGTAGCTTACCTCAATCCATCAAAATCTAAAATATGATAAGAGCCTTATCTTAATATGAAAAAATATTTAAGGTGGATGTTCTTTAAAATAATGGAGAATTTAAGTCGTCCACGCCACTATGCTAAAACAATGACAATGTTAGTTGACAATGAGTACCATGTATGTAATATAATAGAAATGGTTGTTGGACTACACGTACAACATGTACATGTAGTCATGATAGTAGGCTAGCCTACTACATGTTGTACGTGTAGTGCATATAAATACATGTAGCACATTTGCCTTGTAGCAATTTAAACAAAAAATTCACAATTTGATGCCGTTACAGCTATGTTCTTCAAATACAGCCATGCTTCAAATATTTAAGTTTAGTCAGGTGTGGCAAACATGGCAAATGGCAACACGTGTTGTCTTCTCTGGGCAAGTTTCTTTGCATACCGTATAGTACTCACTTATAATTGCTATTAAACAATTAATTTGTTTAGCCGGCCCATCTGTTCCATAAAGAAAACGCCTTTGCATATTTGCAAATGGACGGCTGCTTCCCTTTGTACGTAATTAACAAATAAATTAAGGAACCAGTTGTTGTGGGGGAGATGAACAAATGTCATGATAGAAGTTAACAATTGACAAATTGAAAAAAAAAGAAAAAAAAAAGAGAAACAGGTCAAAAGTTAATTAAAATGTATACATGTATGTATTTGGTGTATTCGAGTAATTATTAGTGTTGAAGAAATTCATTCTGTAAATACAGCTGTTCAATTCATGTTAATGGGTTATAAGGCTACTCGCTAAAACGTGGTACCGGTGAAGCATGAATTTACGTTTTATGAAATACGGACTGATTGGTGGTATTGCGCATACTCATGCATAGATAATTTGGAGAGGGACCGGTCACCTGAGCTGGTTTAACCAATAAAAGAGAAAAAGAGTCCGATTTTCATACGAGTCCGATTTTCATATGACACCGGTACATGTCGTCACCGACAGCACGAAGTAACACTCTACGTGTTAAACCATATTTTTTTCGATTTTCATTTTTTTTTCATTTTTAAACATTATTCATCAAGGCCTACCATTGCACGAAGTTTCAAAGCTTCAAGAGCTTTACTTTAATAATTACGCTAATTATCCATGGCAACTTTTGCGCAAGAGTGACGATTTTCGTTTTCACGAAGTAACACTCAAGTTCCATTTACCATTGCAATGCATGGCGCGCACTCTGCTCAAATGTGAGCAAAAACGTTTTCACGAAGTAACACTCTCCTTGTATGCGCGCGGGCGCGCTGACCTGATCAAGTTGCACTTTTCAAGTTGCACATTAAAGAGAGTTACTTCGTGAAAATGAAAATTTACAGTTTCGCAGCTTTTTCGTTTTCACGAACTACATTGTAACACTCACCTTTTTTCTCTTATTTCTTGTTGATTTAATATACAAACGGGTGAAAAACAGCAGATTTAATAAATTCAATTCATCAAGTGTCCACAACAAGAAACCCAACGAAAGGTACTCTGCAGTTTTGACGCAAAGTGTTGTTTTAGAAGGCGTTCAACTTTAGTTGCCGTTTTCTCCAATTGCTAGTTTTTACTGGTATGTGGGAGGGTGTTACTTCGTGGTGTTGCTGACGAATATGTACATGTACACAGTCTTGTTCTGACAAACTGTCGACACACACATGGGGAGGTGGAAAAGGGAGTGTTTTTGGTAGCAACTGCCATCCAACCTTCTTCACGCGTATTACACATGTACTTCTAATGTGCAGGCCTACACCGTGTTTTGGGGAAAGTTTTTATTATTAGGCAAATTACTGGTAGGACCGAGTTATGGGGACTTTCTGCTCTCCCCGTACCGTTTACAGTCCCCCAAAATAGCTCGTTGAGACGAGTGTATGTCCCAGAACTACGGAACAAGAATGGGTGTACTTTTACATACATGTACATGTATTTATTGTTTGACGTACGGTATGCATACAGCATGATGTAACTTGTTGTACATGTACATGTAACAAAGTTTGTCCATAGACTTTTTTGGTGCTTTAAAAGTTTACACATTGTGGGTTTGATGTTTTTATGCCAACGTGGCAGTCAGCAGTGCACATTTCTGGGGGAAGGATTCTACATTGAATGGTGAATGTTTGCATTACACACTGTTACATGAAGTGTGTGTTGCTTTGAATCAGAAAACAGAGACACATGTTCTGTGCATGTACACATAATAAAGGAGAGCTAAAAGATGGGAATGCAAATTGTACGAACAAAATGTAAATGAATCCTGATTGCTTGTTATGGGTTCAAGTTAATCAAGACAAGGCAGTCCTTCTTAAGTTCATGTTGGAACGCATTCTTCAATTGAATAGCTTCCTCTAAGCAAACTCATATCCGTGGTTCACCCAGCTACATGTACATGTACAATGTAGTATCAATAATACAATTGAAACTTTTGGGCCAAGGTGAGACTTAAGCAAGTCTAAATCACAAGTGACAGTCTGTGAGTCAGTTAAGTACCGGTAACTTGTTAGTCCGGTTCCCAGACCAAAAGATTCTGACTATTTCTGATGAATCTTTGGTCAGGTACAGTAAGTAACCGCTAGTAATACAATACATTGTATATGTCACATGACTAAAAAGGCAAATTTCGGACATATGTTAGGAAAAAGGAGGCATTCGAATGCCTCCTATTCCGAGTTATGTCCGTAGTTTGCTGAATGCATTTCGTCGACAATCTTGGATAGTGCCCGGGTATTTCTGAGTATGAAATAGGTTTTATTTACCGTACCTGCCTTGCTTATTAAAAATTTTTAAAATGAGTTGATAATTAATATTCATCATCATCATTATCTAGGGGTCGCAACCAAGATTTCGTTCACAAACGCCACGCCAGGTGTCTTTATCCCTCATTATGTACGGAAGGTCTTCAATTTCACATTGGGTGTCTCTGCCAATCACATCAATGTACATGTAGTTGACAGGTCTTCATCCTCTAATATTCATTGCTTGCATTTAAAAAACTTTAAATTCAATGACAATTTTATGCATCAAAGTATGCACTTGGGTCATTTGAGGGGCGAGCTTTGCTGCGTATGTACATGTACCTGCATTGTATTTTGAATCTGAAGACGGTTACCAGGAATTCCAAAACTTGGCGTGGTCTCCATTTCCGCTTGATAGCCTGCTAACAATGCTATTCAGGTGCCTAACTTTGAAGATTCCAGGTCAACATAACTCGATGTTTTCTTACAGAAATATCAAACTGTATATCATAACTGTATGAAGCAAGTGATTTATCTAAACATTTGATCGGAACATTAAAAGCTATAAATGATAAAGCGAAACTGGTAACGAAGCCGAGTTTTGCAAAAGGGCTGTCATGTTTATTTTTAGTCCCTGCGGTTGCCTACAATTTAGACATCTAGGCAAAGGGGGAAATTGTCAGGTCAGGGAACCAGACTAGCAACTAGTCAGTCAGTCAAGGACAAAGAGGACAAGTAAGACTGGCCCCTCTAGCATGTCTGGCACCAGCACAAAGAATTGTCATAGGCCATACAGAAAAAATATTCGATTTAAAATCATAGAGCTTAATATAGAGCTAAATATACTGGTATGTATACATGTAATAGGCTAAAATGCGTGCAGCGAGTTAAAGCGAAGAATCCAACTGCCCAATAAGCGTGCATGGGCGAAGTGTTAAAGGAAAGATACAACATTTGCAAACATCACAAAACGACATGATCAAGTAATCACGAAATACCTCACTAGATTGTTTGGGAATGACAGTATAAAGCATGCTGTAAAATTGTGGCCCCTGGTGTGCTGTCATTTTCAAGAAAAATGGTATTTTTCCAACGCTGGTCGGCCGACCAGCGTTGGAGAAAACTGGCTTTTTTCAAAAACTGCTCCTTATTTTCATAATTAGTTATTCCGCGTTTTCTTTGCAATTGGTTACACAACTGTGAAGGGGTACAAGCCTGCTAGACTGATTCTCTGACCTTACAATTTTCCAAAGTCATGATTGCTCCCAGTTTCATCTAAAGTGGGGTCAGGGAACCAGACTACAAGAACATGATTGGTTTTCATGGTTTTTCCAGCATCTACAACAATAGTTGCTATGACATACTAATCCTCCAAATCCATTTATTTCTGAAAATTGCAGCAAAAGGAAATGTACATTCCCTTTAACTCGCTAGTTGTATTGCTACCTATGTACTGGATAGGGATATGGGCTGTGCAGACCTGCTTCGTACAAAATGAAGCAGAACTACGTAGCTCTGAAGACAATAATCACACTACTGAAGATAACACTAAAGATAACACTCAAAATAACACTGAAGACAAAACTTAAGATAAAATAGTTCTGTGTTTAAAATGCAACTTTCTAACCTTGCCTTTGAAATGGTCAAATAAACATCTTTGTAATCAGTCGTTTAACTTCTTGCCATCGGTGTTCTTGTCTTTTCCTCTCCGCAGCAACATAACAAGGAGGTTGCCACCAACGTATATGAGCAGGTTCACCATGTCTCGCGTGACAAGCGTGGGCAGGTTATGGGCATGCGCGGAGGATTCCGCGGCTGTACTGTCTGGTTCACTGGTAAGTCAGATAATTCCTGGGAATGGAGTCCTCAACCCTTAACCCTAAAAGGGCCGGGGGGGGGGCGGAATCCGCCCCCCCTCAACATTTTCCGCGATAGCTTCTAAAAAAATTTTTTTCGCGACCCGAGCTGTTATGACTTTTTAGCCTCGAGCTTTGCGCATCTTTTGATACCAAAAACATAAAAATCGGACCACGGGTTGGCACGTAGCGAAAAATTTTACGGCGCTACGCGCCGTGAAAACTGAATTTTCACATATATGTCGTGTACACCGAGCAGAATTGCCATTCATACATATGAATAATTAATTAGCCATAATTCCAAAACCCTTTGACCTATAGTCATGAAATTTCTTGGGCATGTTAAGGAAGAGTTGCTCTATGCATGTGCTGAGTTTCAAAAATTTTCGTCACTCGATGGCCGAGATCTTAGGGGGGGGCGGAATCCGCCCCCCCCCGGCTGAGAGATGGTCAAAATAACCCGGCCCCTTTAGGGTTAATTGAGCCTGAGTCCTCGGAGTCAAGTCTGGGTCGGAATATTTCGTTTGAAACGGAGTCTGAGTCTGAGTAGCTCAGTTACCATGGTTACAAGTCACTTAACCCTAACCTCACTTAAAGCTACAAAATACCACTTCTAGTAAGCTGTTGTATGAAATTCTTTGCCATTATAAGCGTGCACAACACTTATACCGGTAGTATTCTGTAGTTCTCAGTTCTTTATCCTCCATGCTAGGATGTTAGGGTTAAAGGGAAAATACAACATTTGCAAACATCAAAAAATAAAACTAACAAATCATTTTGAAATACCTTGCTGGACTGTTAGTGAATGACAGTGTAAAGCATCCTGTAAAATCATGGCACCTGGTATACTGTCATTTTCAAGAAAAGTGGTATTTTTGTATCAATTTCCAACGCTGATCGGCCGATCAGCGTTGGAAACAACTGGTTTTTTTTTCAAATACTGGCCCCAATTGACCATCGCACTTGTTTGCAATCGATTACAAACCTATGAACGGGTACGAGCCAGCTAGACTGGTTCCCTGACCTTACAATTCCCCAATGTATGTAAACTGCTCTGTTTCTTCTTATATGGAGTCAGGGAACCAGACTACAGGAAAATGATCGTTTTTCTTGGTTTTTATAACATTTTCGAACCCAAAACCTCAAAAAAGTCAGTGTAACTATATTTGCTATATATTTCTAACCCCCCAATTCCATCCATTTCTGAAAATTACAGCAAAAGCAAATGATGTATATTCCCTTTAAAGAGCAGTTAACAAAGACACCAAAAAACCTGACACAAAAAAAACTCATCAGTGGACAGGTAAAATAAAGGAAACAATCTTACAGTTATGCGGCAGAGAGCAGCACATTGGTTTCGCTACATGTACAGATTACCGAAGTGTGTCGTCATTTTGAACCGGGAAGTGTAGTGCAAACGTATGGAGTACGCGCACATGTTGGTTCACTTGCTGAATTGCGCGCTAACGTCTTTTACACACATTATTGTGCGCGTGATGTATTCACTTCGGTAGTCTATGATTGTGTAACTTTGGAAGAAGATGCATAGTATAATAAAATAAACATGTATTAACTGTTAGTTTGGGGAAAAAAACAATCTTCCAATTTAAAAAAAAAAAATATTTTGTCAGTTTTTTTTTCGAAGTCCGATCGAGACCAATTCATACAGTAAGATCGAGTCCATGTTAATTGTGACTTGAGTCCAAGTCCGAGTCACCAAAAATGTGATATGACTCATATCACATTGTCCGGCTCATATTATGAGCCGGACTCGAGTGTGTCTGTGCTGGTCCAGTATACAGTAACAGGCTTATATTATTTAGTTTGCTTTCAATAACATGTATTTCTATCAAAAGCTGAGTAATATATGGTTAGTGGAGAGATGATTAGGAGGAGCAAAAGCATGTACATGTTCATCATGTAGGGGCATGCCATTATATATGTAGATCACAGTAGACATGTACAAAACACTGAAACTACACGGGGAGTAAAAAAAAAAAGGAACCCAAATGTCGCCCCCTATTTTTTGAAGAAGTTCTGCATGTGGCAATTTTCAGATCTACATGTAGGATATGAAAGCCCAATTAATAGGCTTTCTTTTAGTAAAAGAATCATTCAAATCACTCATGTACTTCTCCATTTACGGAGTTTTGAACTCAAACACAGTTCAGAAATTTATCCACGGATCACGTTTTAAGGTTCGTGATATTTCAGTAACATGAAACCATGTCATATCATGAGAACATTATCAGAATAATACCATGCATTTGTACGTCTCTAGGGTAGCCAAGTACATGTATAAGGCAGGGAAGGACTACAGACTCTTGACATTATAAAGCATGTTGTTTTGAAGCAGGTTTATGATAAGTGCCAGTTATCATGGTTATGAGAGTGTTCTGATGTGGGTTTTTTTTATATGTGAATTGTTTTCGTTTTGCTGAAACATCACTTATCTTTTCTGTGATCCGTGGACACAATTTTAAACTGGTTGTGTTTCAAAGTCTGTAACTGGAAAGGTACATGAGTGAATTAAATGATTCTTTGACTAAAAGAAAGCCTATTAATTGGGCTTTCACACCCTACATGTAGATCTGAAAAGTGCTACATGCAGATCGTCTGTTTGAAATATGTGACGCAATTGGGTTTCCTTTTTTTTTTTTACTCATTACTCGCCCTGTACATTAAAACACTATAACCAGCCCCAACCCATCAAAATCCAAAAATATGCATGTTTTGTTGGAATCTGTTGGAGTGAGTACTGCACTAAACTGATTATGCTTTACATGGAATCAGGCATACCGCCATAATCAGTTTACCATACTTGTTGGGTTTTGCAAGAGTGACGAAAGTTGTTCCTAGCAAATCACTCAAGGCGGTTTAAGGTTAAAGAAAGACAGACAAACCAACAGAAACAGATGAACAAATGGTCCAACAGACAGACATTTTAGAAATTGACTGACAAATGCAGATGAAACAAACCCCCTCCCCCCTCCCCCAAGAAAAAAACCAAAAAACCAGCTGGTTGGAGTTGGATGGTAAAAAGAGAGATGAAGAAATTGAAGACATGATGTAGGAGCAGTAAACGGCACAGCATGGTGTTCATATAAGAGCAGTGTGGACACTGGTGGTGGCTTGCAAATTGCGCAGAGCACTACTGATTGGAGATTCTCATCATTTGCAACTGAACGCACCCAAAATACATGTAGGACTTCGATAGCAAAGTTGTCCTATTTGAATTGGATTTGGAACTCGGCTTTAAAAGCAAAGACTGCTTTTTGTGTGCCTAAGAGATTTGCATAGATGCATTCAGGTTAAAGTACATGTAAGTCTGGCCTGTGGCAGTGTATTGTACTCTCACTACAGCTCTAGCCTGTATGAATGCCAACCTGTCTGTACCAGTATGTAAATGAAACTTACAAATGTATACAGCCGGCCCTCCAGAAATTGGTACCCACTGATCCAAAACCAGGCTTGAGTTACACAAGTGTACAAGTACATTTACAATTGTACATACCTGTACATGTACATGTACAGGTACATACATGTAGGTCTTAATTAAGGTTTCACAACTTGTGTTGTAGACAAACATACATACATACTTAGGCCAAAAAAAAAGTCTCCGGTTTCTGGTATGCGCGCATCACTGTAGCCATGCACGTCGGCAAAATGAAAAAGGTTTTTTTTTCAATGAGAGATGATGTCTCAAAACCGCCAAACTCACTGGTTTGACTGGAATCCTGCTGCTGCACAATGTTAACGTGTTTTTAGATGGGGTTACGATCGAGTATAAGCTTTACATGTATGTGGCTTCCCTGGGCTTCAATACATTTTGCACTTAATTTAGTCGGGCACCATTTGCAGTCATCAGCCGACATTTGAACCAAAAAAAAGTATAAAAAAAAAAAAAAGCCGCGTCGCCGCACCACTTTCGGGGCAACCTCCATACCAGAAACCGAAGACTTTTATTTGTTGGCCTAAGCCAGCTGTATGCACAATTTGCCTGCTTTGTCTGTTCATGATCTGTTGATTGAAATTGACTAGTCACAGTGCTTGCTTTCATACATTATGATCTGACTGCTAGTGACTACACAATGTAGCCTGTGTAATAAGTACCAGAATAACAGGGAAGGTGGATGGAAATTTTGACTGTCTGTGACTGTTTAAATAGCAGGAAGGTTAGGAGGTTGGCATTGAATGTACTTGTAAATAAACCTGTACATGTATGTACACTGAAATACGCTTGAGCTGCTCATGTACATGTACATGTACAATGTATGTATGCATACATGTACATGTGTACTGTATTACATGTACAGTCGGCTCCCGTTATAGCGAAATCCACGGGACCGGTCAAAATGTTCGTTGTATCGTACACATATACATGTACACATGTACACATATACATGTATGTCATGTAGTCCATAGAGGATGAACGTACATGTAGGAAAGAACATGTTCTGGTGTTTCACAGTGTTTCTCGCATTTTGGGACAATTATTGATTCCACCATTGCCTCTGGGAAAGACAATCTGCTCGTGTTCCAATCTCTGGGTTCTGCATTGATCAGTGCAAACCATACGCCTCCAAGGGAAACAGCTGTACTCTGCAACCTTGTTCCATCCATACTGAGTGTCTTGATAATACGCACAATCTTTGATCTCAGCCTTTGAGGGAGTAAAGATTTTTCCACTTTACCCCTGGGAAAGAGGCTGCTTTGACTCAAATTTCAAGTTAATTACTTACTTTAAGCTACTGGTTGTTGGTTTTATTTTCACCAGTTTACCCCTTCCCTCATACAATACCACACTTGTTGCTATTGCTAAAAAAAAATAATCTGTTTGTTGAAACTACTTATTCAACCACAATTAATTTATTACATGTATAAGATGGAATTTTGCGTCGGGGTGATATAAATCAAGTTAGGTTTTGCCCTTCACCGACGTTTGAACACTGTATACTCAGTGTGTTACCTCCCGAGTGAAAGTTGGAAAAAATCACTCGGGTGGTGACCTCCTGCTTTCTAGTGCAGATGTCTTAGGGCAAAACCTAACTTGATTTATATCACCCCGACGCAAAATCTTATAATAGTTTATGCGGTACCCGCTGCTATGTACATCAGATTCGAACCAGCCAACTGATCCCGTTAGCTCGGTGGTCGAGTGGTAAGACATCTGCACTAGAAAGCAGGAGGTCGTGGGTTCAAGTCCCATCCGAGTGATTTTTTCCAACTTTCACTCGGGAGGTAACACACTGAGTATACAGTGTTCAAACGTCGGTGAAGGGCAAAACCTAACTTGATTCACAATTAATTTGACAGATTTTGTGCCCAAATGTGGTGCAAATCTATAAATACAAAAATGTAGGTGCTCAAAGGTTAGTTTAGTTCTTTTAACAAATTAACATCCCCTCATGATTTAACCAACTACCGTTGGCCTGTGAATGACTACAATGCTAAATTACAAAATATAATCATAAAGAAATAAAGGAATGTATTGTAAATTGTGCTGTAAATTCATAATACCCCACAGGGAGTACTGTGATCCGGGCTGATTTTTGTTAAATTTTTTAGTTGCCTTGTTATCTCTTGTTCACTGAAGTACATTGTGTTTGGTGAATGAATTACACAAGTCTTAACATTTTGGTTGCCTGTTTTCTTCCGTAGGCTTGTCTGGCGCCGGTAAGACTACCATCAGTTTTGCCTTGGAGGAATACCTGTGCCACCATGGCATCCCAGCTTACTCCTTGGATGGTGACAACATGAGGAAAGGCCTGAATAAGAACCTGGGCTTCTCTCACGTCGATCGAGTGGAGAACATTCGTCGTGTCTCGGAGGTGGCTAAGCTGTTTGCTGACGGCGGTGTGGTGTGTCTGAACTCCTTCATTAGTCCCAATGCAAAGGTAAGCTTATGGTATGATCGCTGTGTCCCCAGTATCATCACATAAACTTTAGCCCTCCCAAATCTTTACAAACCACCAGGACATTTTAGACGGTTTAAATTTGCTGTATGGAATTTACAGCATGGAATTTGCAGCGTAGCCACTATTATAAAACAAAAAAGTGGTTGAGGGTAGATAGTTGATGTTGCATGTATCTGCCCTAGTTATTGGAACTTGACAAGTTACATGTACCTGTACATGTAAGCCGTTACAACTTCATGTACATGTAGGTCGTCTCTAGAATTCTCTGAGTATTGCGTTCACCAATTGACTTGTCAGATACATGTACATGTATGATCATTTTGAACAAAATGGAACACAAAGAGCAGCTTGATGCAGCTAATATTTCAAGAATCACTTAAAAAACAATCCCTGAGTTGCCAGTATAAAAATATTGGGTGGCTCGGCGTGGAATAGGAGGAATATTATCACAAGGTAAAATCTGGACTTTTCCATTTCACGAGGCGAAGCCGAGTGAACTGGAAAAGTCCAGATTATACCAAGCGATAATATTCCTCCCATTTCACAATTTAAAGCCACTCAATATTTGTTTTATATAACTGACATCCTTGTCATTTGATATTTGAACTTATTTCAATTTGAACTTATTTCAATGCAAAATTGGTGGAAAATATATTTCTTTCTTCCAAACCACCTCTTCACGAAAATGTTTGAACCCAAGGCTGTAGTGCTGTCTCTTTGGAACAATACGCGCAACACTGAACGCGCACACCAGCATGCATTTGAACACAAATACCGCGTCTTGGAACAAGAATGATCCTAACTGTTCAATAGTATTTCCCATTCCCCATATGGGCGAATGGAACTTTTTGAGCCCCGGCGTAAATGGGAGCAATAACGAATGTCATGTGATGTGAGTTCCACCAATCAAAAGACAAGGATATGTATGTTGGTTATATAATATTGGATATTGTCGTCACAGATTTGCTGAGTTTGAGCAACTGACTAGCCAGTATTGAATGTTATTATCTGCAGGATCGTCAAGAGGCCAAGGCATTGCATAGGACCAGCGGTCTTCCATTCTATGAGGTTTACGTCAGCACCTCGTTGGAGGTCTGTGAGTCACGTGATGTCAAGGGATTGTACAAGAAAGCTCGGGCAGGGATCATTAAAGGTTTGCACTGACTGCCTACTACAGTAGAACTTGAATAAAACAACATAGTGGGTCTACAAATGATTATTTGGTATAAATGGTATTCGTTTAAAAGCAAATTGCTGCCAATATTTAGTAGAAATGTGCATAAAATTTGGGAGACAAGGGAGGTGTTCTTGCTATCCAAAAGTTTGGTATACATGTAGATGTACGGAGTTCTTTTTTAGCATCATTCTTCTGTATTTAACTCTTTGCTATTACCACAGCTAGTGTTTAAAGTGGCAAATATCTTCAAATATCATGAAAAGAACATCCAAACTGGTTATGTTTTTATATTTGTCTGGTGTACCTGAAGCAAGCATTTGACAAAAACATGAATTAAGCACGAGTCACCAAGGTCATGTCAAGTTATGAAGCTTGGGCCTAAAGCCAGAAATCAACACTATTGCTGTGGTATGCCGGTATACCAGTTTTCTGGCAATAGCCAAAATATCGACTTTGCAAAAACTGCATTCTCATGTGTACAGTGAGCGAACGATAGTTGAAAAGCTAAGTATATTGTGCAAGTCTAGGATCGTTGCACATGTGCTGCTCCGTGGCTAGTGCCATGCTAGCAGGATACACAAATCGTCGCCGACACCATGAGCTGACTCTTGGGATGTACGCGTACTTTACAATACCATGTAATTTTGGTTTTCACAAACTGATGCCCAAGTTCTGCATGCGTGCACTCCATACATTTTCTTTTTCACAAACCGGAACCTGTCTTAATTTCATCAGTTAAAAGGTCATTTAAATGTTTCTGTAACCCCACATGCAGCTAGAGTAAAGTCGTCTCAACCTTTCAAAGTGTTTTTCTCCGAATTGTATTTCCACCACATGCGTTTCAGTGTACGAAGTGCGCGTGCACACCCACACGTCAGTTCGTGAAACCGAAATGATTGAAAAAGCGGTTCTCACAAAGTGCGCGCACACAGTGCGTGCGTTTCAGTTCGTGAAAACCATGACGAAATGTATTGTACATTCAATGTAGACATACATATGTGTCTGTGTGTGGTGCTGTGATGTGAGTAAACTGAGTATGTACAATGTACATGTATAGTGTACATGTATGACGATCATTTTATGCAGGGCCATCTCTTGACGTGTCAATATTTTTAGGTTCTGCAGCAAAACCCACTAGCATCCCTGCTATACCATGTACTTGTACATGTATGGCTTTGTTGCCCAACTCTTTCCCAAAATGGGGGGTACTTTGGGGGTTTTCCAAACATGTCCTTTCTTTCCAGCTATGGCTAGAAGAGATATTTAGGCTCCTATCACTTGGTGTTACACCTGACGATGTGTACGTTTGACTTTGCTGTCTTGCAGGATTCACTGGTATTGATCAAGAGTATGAAGCGCCTGACGATCCAGACATCAACCTCAACGCTGGGGCCTTGACTGTGGATGAATGTGTGGAGAAGTTGATCAAGTTTCTACAGGGAGAGGTGAGTCAGGGAACTAGACTTATACACGTACCTGGGTGAATATTGGATTATGGACTCAGTGCAAGAACAATAGAGAGCGCTTTGTGACCATTCTTGAGCGATCCATTTGAGCGCCCATATTGCATGAAAACATTAGTGTTTGGGTGCACTAGAAAGTGCAGAGGGCATGACGAAGCCATGGATGAGTTTCGTCTGTGCATGGACTGTATGTGCACAACTCAAAGTGTCTATGCATGATTTTGCCATCATGGGCCGTTAAAGGGAAAATACAACATTTGCAAACATCAAAAAATAAAACTACCAAATCATTTTGGAATACCTTGCTGGACTGTTAGTGAATGACAGTGTAAAGCATCCTGTAAAATCATGGCACCTGGTATACTGTCATTTTCAAGAAAAGTGGTATGTTTGTATCAATTTCCAACGCTGATCGGCCGACCAGCGTTGGAAAAAACTGGCTTTTTTTCAAATACTGGCCCCAATTGACCATCGCACTTGTTTGCAATCGATTACACACCTATGGACGGGTACAAGCCAGCTAGACTGGTTCCCTGACCTTACAATTCCCCAATGTATGTAAACTGCTCTGTTTCTTCTTAAATGGAGTCAGGGAACCAGACTACAGGAAAATGATTGTTTTTCTTGGTTTTTATAGCATTTTTGAACCCAAAACCTCAAAAAAGTCAGTGTAACTATATTTGCTATATATTTCCAACCCCCCAATTCCATCCATTTCTGAAAATTACAGCAAAAGCAAATTATGTATATTCCCTTTAATGTGTTCCAAATGTCCTGCCTAACTCTTTTTTAACCATTGAGGGGGTACTAGTAAGCAGAGTGCGTAGTAGAGATATAGACCTTATTCACGAGAAGCCATTGTTGATCATGTTCCCTGAATTTTATTAACACAATTTTGTCGCGTGATAATGTCTTGGGTATATACTACTACTAATAATAATAGCAGGCATTTATATAGCGCTTTTACGCCACAATGGGATATCAAAGCATTAAGTTACAGGTAAGTGGCAAGGTGCCAGACTATTTATGCGTCCCAAGCCTCGCTTTAAATTATTCTAAATGTGGCTTTAAACATTTGCGTACAATTAATCATAAATTGTAATAAATTGTGCGTGTATACAAACATTTTCAAAAATCGCGCAACATATCACGTATTTGTTTGTTCGCACACGCGCGTGTGCGACATTGCCGGGCGACATAGTCGTTGCGACAAAACCACGTATGTGTAAATAGGCCTTGTAAACTGTTGAATGGGATGGTGTCAGACTACTTATGCGTTCCAAGCATCACTTTCAAAATTTTTAAATGTGGCTTAAAACATCAGCGTATAATTAATCACAGATTTTAAACTATTCATCAGAGCAGACTGATATTAATTTGTAATCAACTTTATTTCATTACTTCCATTTCTATCATGTCTATGCACAAGTTCCAAAAATGAAGATTTTACCTCACTTTCAAGTTAATATGGCCGACTCATGAATAAAGCCTATTCTGGGTCTACTTGGTGAACCTGGCTTCAATTCAATTCTAGCATGAGCTATGTGTAGATCGTATTTAAAAGATTTGTTTCTAACTCCAATTCATATTCTGTTGATGAATCAGTCAAAACTCGCATCACTGAAAAGTAAGGACGGTCGAAACTTGCCTCGACTCAAACTTGAGTCTAGTCTGAGTCAGTTGTTCTTTTCTTGTTGAAGGGTATCATCCCTGAGTCTGCTGTAGAGAGTGTCAAGGAACTCTTTGTGCCTCAGTCAGCTCAAGATGCTGCCAAGAAGGAGGCAGAAACTCTGGATTGTGTGGAACTCAACAAGGTGAGAACTCAGTCGCAAGTTTAACACTGTTATACGGAAAAGGTAGCACTTGAACACAGGTGAACGGAAAACTCAGGTTTCAGTCTGGCATCCAGAGCCAGGTCTGTTCAAATTATTCTAAAGATCTGTAGTAAGTTCAGTGAAAATGTTGCTGTTTGAAACGCTTGGAAGCGACAACTTTGTAAGGTTTTGAAAGATCGACTGACGCAGTTTGGAATAACAGCAGAGTCTGGTCATTGGAAAATTACTACATGATACTTCCATGTCTCAGCCCAAAATCTATTTAGGTCAACCGGTTAAGCCCGTAAAACATTTCTTGGCTACCAGGGAAGGTAAGAAAGGAATTTTGTTTAGTGCTGCTATTCGAGTACAAGTACTTTGATAATTGAGTACAATTTCGACATGTCGAGTACGAGTGCTTTGCTGCCCGAGTACGAGTACCGTCATTTCGAGTACGAGTATTTTCACATTTGAGTACAAATACTAGAGTGGAGTAGTTCTCGAGTGCGATTACCGAGTACGAGTACTAGAACACTGCCTTAAAGCTACAGTCCATCATTTGTAATTTGTGCATTTTGTTCGTTTGAAGCAACAAAAGAGTTCAAAATCTAATGAAGGATACTGAGCAACTAACCTGATGAATTTTCAGCTAAGCTTCAGCTGTACATTCCGAGAAAAACAGCATTCTAAGATCTCAATTTCAAATCAAAAGTTACTGAATCATGTTTTGAATTGCAGCTATACGCGACGTCGCGCACTGATCCGACGAATTATAACAACCGCGCGCGCGTGTGCGTCGTTCCAATACTTGTGCGCGCTGCGCTGAATAACAAAACGAACTACTCATTTAAATTTTCCTACGGTGCTTCTTAAGAATCACCGTTGGAAATGCCTTCTTTCGTTGATTACTTCAAAATGACAGCTTCCCAGAAAGAATAATTTCACAGGGAGTTTAGTTCCCTTACTATCTTTCAACCAAGTTTGTTTTTCAAGAATAATTACGCCAGTTACTTTTTGGATGGCTGCAAATGATGGACTCTAGCTTTAAATGTGATCCGTGGACAAAAGTTTAAACTGTGTTTGTTTACAAAATCCCATAACTCGAAAAGTTGATTAACTCCATGACTTGGAAAGCTTATTAATTGGGCTTTTACATCCTAGATCTGGAAAGCGCTACATGCAGAACTTCCTTTAACATGTTTTAAAAAAATAGGGGGCACTATTTGGGTTTCCTTTTCTTTTCTTTTATGACTCACCGTGTATTTTCTTCTGCCCACTAATGTTTGTAGGTAGATATGTTTTGTTTGGTATGTTTTAATTTTTGCACTGAAGAGAAGTTGATGTGGGTGCCATACTGAGTCAAACAGTCTAGCTAGTCTCAATTCAAGTCTCCATTGTACCAGGCAACAAGGGAGAGATATTGAATCTGGGTTATCTGTAAATTGTGAATTGATAATAAAGTGCAAACAAGGCCACTAAACTTGGATCACTGCCCAGTCCAAGATAATGTACCAACCATTGAGTGTCACACCGTTCACTGTTTACTCATCCTATCTCTGCTTATCATGACTTGTGCTGTGTCATGATGATTTGTAACATTCCCTTTGTTGAATTTCCACAATTGACTGCAGATTTGGGATTTGAGAGGGCGACACTGGAGGGTACAGCAAAGCAAGATATCTTGTTCAGTTGTTTCCTGTGCATTCCTGAGACCTTAATGATCATGTGTACACAAACAATATAGAAAACCTTCTCTGTACTTAAGAAATTGCAGGGGTCATCGTAAAAATTATGTACTTAACAAAAGACAGAATTTGTGCTACAAATTGACACAACACTAATTATCATGTGCATGAATTCACCCAAATGTCATCTCATTGATATTTATAACCCATTTAGGAGTGCTAATAGCCACAATGAACACAATTGTGTTGGTCTTTTTTTTATCACTTTTTGGTAACATGCGTAATGTGGACAGAAATGTTGTGACATTTTTCTGTCCATGTTACGTATGTAACATCCTGAACTCAATACCCTGTGAAATCTTAAACATACAGTAAATTGTCTCGGTTTTTACAGGCGACAATGCTGTAGGGATAAGAATGAAAAAGCACAATATTTGATAAAGACATTTATTGTAATTATAACTTTCTATCAATATTAACAAACTTTCTGTCACTGTTTATGTGACGTACGTACCGGGTAGCACTGTGAGCATAATGTCTTGTCAAATTTGCATGGAAAGTCTTAAATTCTCTAAAGCACAATCCCCAACAATGGGGTGGGGATGTACAAGTGGAAAATAGGACAAACAACTTGATCTTATTATCCTGCTTCATTTCCCAAGACCATGTTACACTTTTGTACCCCTTTAGTATGGAAAGGCCCACCACCATCGTTGTATTGTTGGCGCCTGGCTATGCTTACCTGGCTAAATATAGCTTGAAAGCTGCAGGGGTGTTTGATTAAGACTGAACACTTTATCATATGCCTTGTGTGTGTGTTCAAGATTGCCCATGGCCTAAAAAAATAAACCAAGTAAATGTTCACCAATTAACCCCCCTACTGTTTTAACAGTCGTAGACAGTCAAAAATTTCATCCCTTTCTCTGCCATGCCTTTTACACCGACTAGTCACCAACAGTCCGAAAATATTTGTGACCTGTTCTGTCAAAAGCAGACGCTTCTGGGCAGAGGTTGAAATTGAGATATGGCCAAAAAACGCTGTGGGGTGATTTTTATCGATTTTCAAATTTTTGCATATTTGTAATCCTGAACATGTCTAAAATATATTATAAAAGTTTGAAACCCTAATTTGAAATCTACATATACTATTCTTGATGATTTTGATAAGGTAAATCAGTTAAAGAAATAATTGTTTTGTGACGTTTGTGGCCATTTTCTCCGTTTTCTACTTTTCGACACAATGAACTTCAAAATAGCATAACTCTGCCCAGGAATGACCGTTTTCAAAAATTAAACCACTTATTAAAAGGAAAAAGAATATACATGTATGTTAACAATATGCAAAAATTTCATTTTCGACCTTATGCCCAGAAAAGTCTGATTTTGACAGAACATGTCACATTTTTGAACAAGAACTCTGACTAGTCAACTTCAGTCAACAGACAAAAGCAGGAAATGGGTAGCACAGCTGTCTTATCACCAACAGTAAAAACACAGGTTTATCAAGTTACATAAACAGTCACAGTTAGTCAATCCTGATTTATGTAGGCTGGGAGCTCTTAACTGTTGAAAACAGTCACTTGATTGATTTTGACTGAAAGGACAACTTGGCTCAGAATGTATGTTTGCATGGGAGGGATAATGAACATATACATTACATTACTAGAGAGCAAAATCCAATATTACATGTACATGTAAATTCCCATCTCCTGATTCAAAATGCCATTCTACAAGATGTCTTGCATGCTTTAGTTTCAAGAAAATTGGAACTCTGACAACATGCTAGAAGGATCGCTCGCTGAAAGTATTTTGAAAAATAATTGAAAGATGGTTATTGTATAGTGATGAATACCCCGCCCCCTCCCAAATGAACTAAGCAACATTGTTAATGCAGAATTTTGCTGTTCCAATCTCCTGCTCTCATTCAGATTATGTGTGTGTACTCTACAAAACTTACCCAGTCTCAAAAAGTTTGAGTGAATCATTGTCAGTGTTGAAGAATTCCCAAACACACTTAAAGGAAACATGTAATATGATTTTTATGACTTAAATACATTTAAAACAGCTTTCTTGCCATGTAACTACCGGTATGACTTTCCACCTCCTTTGTAGCAGTAAAAAGGAGAAATTTCAATATTTTAGTTTTATGCTAATGAGAATTTCCATATTCATGAGCAAAAGCGTGATGTCATTCAAGGCAGAACAGTAGTGTCTCCATAGCTTTGTGTACAAATATATATCAATCTTTTCTTCATTTTCTTGGAGTAAGTTCCACTTTTTACTTGTTTACCATGTTAAACAGCTTGTTTGGACAATAGTAGTGGCCAATATTTCTTCACAACTTTTTTTTGTGGGTATTTTTGAAGGACTAATTTTGTACTGTTCACATGCACTTTTGACAAGGAGTGCCTTGTGTGACAAAAGCAAAATAGCGCCCTCTTACATGTATTGATGAAAGGATTTGCTAATAATTGAAAAACTACCACTTTCTTGTCACTTCCAATGAAAACAAGTATTAAGATCTTGTATGTATTGTTGCAACACATGGTAATTTGCATAAAAACAAGATGAGCAGAATTTTCACTGCATGTTTCCTTTAATTGATTAAATGATTTTGGATATGAACCCAGGACCATGAAGTGAGTCAAGTAATTCTTGTTACATCAGTAAATGGTCATGCTATGGGCAAGGGTTCTTGAAGAAGGCTGGGCTAAGAAATGAACAAAGTTGGATGTGAACAGTGGACTATGGTATTGCACTGCCACTGCTCTTTCTATTTTTTTCTGTGTGTGTTTGTTGCCTATAGGGCTCAGGTCTTTGTAGAAGGTTAGGCTTGCAAACGTTCATAACTGAACATAAATGTAGTTGAGTGTGAACCAGGGACCATGCACTAGAACCAGGGTTCTGTCCTTGATTTTATTTTCGTTGAATGTTGTCTCCTCAGGTTGACATGCAGTGGGTTCAGGTCCTTGCGGAGGGTTGGGCGTCCCCTATGACAGGCTTCATGCGGGAGCGTGAGTTCTTGCAGTGTCAGCACTTCAACTGTGTCCTTGATGGTAAGAGAGGAAAACACCCTTGTACATGTGTGCTTGGCCAGTTTTAAACACTCATTTTAAGACCGGTTGGAATCTGGATGCTGATACATGAATGAGCCGAAGGCGAGGGTAATTATCAGCATCCAGATCCCAACTGGTCTTAAACACAGTAATAATAACAATGCCGGAGTCTTATATAGCGCACATATCTACCGACAATTAGGTACTCAGGGCGTTTAGTGTTAAATACCAGCCAAGCATGTCTTTTATTCCCATTCATAAATAACTTTTCTGTAAAAAAATCAAAACTTTTTGGTCCAAAAGTCAAAACAAGTCAAAAATTATACATGTCCGACGATTTTGTTTTTCGAAACACCCCTCTAGCTGTATTATGGACTGTTCCGCTCGCGAGTAGACATAAACAACTCCTTATATGCAGATTGGCGCGCACATCGCACATACTTACTGGGCGATGTGGCGCAGAACGCAGCTGTGCCTGGGTATTGTGCGTTTAGGAATATGACTCACTGGTAGTATTGGGCATGCCTTCGTGAGGATTGTGACCGTTCAACCAATAAAATGGTAAAAAGCACTTGATTTTCATGACCGTGTCACCGTGTGACGTCATACCAACTGGCAATTGATAGGCAAAACAAACACCTAAGCATTTTGCTCATGTAGTTTTTCTACGTTATAAAGTAAATGTCAATACTTTTATACTACCTTTATTTCAAGAGATATACATGCAGTGCAGTATAGAACTGAAAGTTTCAATCATTTGACCACAACATCAAATTTTTCAACAAGTGTGTAACTGTGTATTGGTTGTAATTGTTAGTGGGTCCTATGTAGGTAGTACCCCTAACATTTATCTGTCTACATAATTGTTTAAAATTTGTTTACTTGTTTATTCTAAAACACAGGTGGGGCTATCAACCAATCAGTGCCTATCGTTCTGGCAGTTACCCTAGAGGACAAGGAGCGACTGTCCAATAAGGAGGCCTTTGCTCTGTCTTACGAGGGGCGTCGCGTCGCTATTCTACGTTCGCCAGAGTTCTATGAGCACCATAAGGAAGAGCGCTGCTGTCGTCAATGGGGTACCAGCAACCAAGGCCATCCTTACATCAAGGTGGGGGTCGACAAACCTTTCTGAGTTTACGTTGTTTTAATTCTTTTTGATTATGAAAACCTGTTGTTTCCAGGAAAACGCAGAGACTGGAAACCCAACCACACAGTTGCCTGGTTAGGATTTGAACCCAGACACAGAAGTGGAAGGTACGTAAATCACCGCGGTGCTGACCTAACTCCCTTACTCCCAAGCTGTGGTGGTGCTAAGACGTCTGCACTAGTAAGCAGGAGGTCAAGGGTTCGAGTCCCACCTGAGTAGTTTGAGAATTTTTCTCGCAATCACTTTGGACAACACTGACTATACAGTGTATTGAAATAATAATATGTTGGCGGAGGGCAAAACCCGCTGTTGAATCTTTAGTTTTTAATTTTTGTTCTCCACAGATGGTGATGGAGAGTGGAGATTGGTTAGTGGGCGGTGACTTGGAAGTACTTGATCGTATACGTTGGAACGATGGCCTGGATGAGTATCGTCTGACCCCCAACGAACTCCGAGCTAAATTCCGTCAGTTGGGCGCCGACGCAATCTTTGCATTCCAGCTACGTAACCCTGTCCATAACGGCCATGCTCTACTTATGAATGATACCAAACGCCGCTTGAAGGAACGTGGATACAAGAAACCCACACTTCTACTTCATCCTCTAGGTATCTGCCCAAATAAGATTTCTGCAAACCAATCCCATTGCAAGATGTATTCAGTAATGTTAGCAGCAGGGTACCCTAAAGTTAGAACATTCCACGGTGCCACAAAAGCAGAACAAACTTCCTTGGCTTTTGGAAGTTTTACATGCAGTTATCTGTGTAGCCTTTTCCATGTATATAGGCAAATGTGACTGCGAAGCAAATATGACGTCAGAAATATTTGCTGCGAAATTCGCTTCGGTTATAATATATAGGGTGAATAATTGTCACAATGCCACAGAGTTTAGTGAACAGGCCTTAATGCTTTTCATTTTACTACAACATGTATACACCTTCCAATACACTTCAATATTTGCCAAAAGTGACTTATCTGGCTTTTTTTGCACTGCCTTTCAATATCCTCCACTGTACCAAGTCATATGTTTAGAACTCACTGTCAGTAAACAGACGAGTAAACAAGGCTATAGGGAGATCCCTAGGAGTGCAGACCAGTAAATATACTGCCATAGACCTTACTGGTAATTACGCGCACTTCCCAAAATTATTAAAAATACTCACAACTCTCTGAGGTGTTCGTTCAAGACACGCATCAAATTAAAGCTCATTTCATCATCTTTCATTTTCCGTTAAGTTTTTTTAGTGTTATCCTATGGCTTTTGGTAGAAATTTCCATCAGAAGATGATCACCCCTAAAAATAGTCCTGAAGCCCATCGCCATTTGAAAACAATTTTGGACCGATTTACTGGTCTGCACCCCTAGACCCTCCTTATTCCTCCAATTTAGTAGCATCGTGTACCAGCAGATGCACCCTTTAATGCAGACTAGAATTCACTGGGCTGGTCAGCCCAAGCATCTACCAGTATACTTCAACTGGAGTGTGAGTTCAAGTGGAGAGTCATGGCCTAGCGGTTGAGAGCACTGCACCGGAATCATGCTCTGGCGTTTCAGAGGCAGCAGAATGTGGGTTCCAGCCCGGGTCTGGACACTTGTGCCCTTAAGCAAGGCACTTAACCATTATTGCTTCGTCCTTCGGATGGGACGTAAAGCCGTAGGTCCCGTGTGTTGTGTAATGCAATGCACGTAAAAGAACCCAGTAACACTTATCGCCAAGAGAAGAGGTTTGCCCCGGTGTTTCTGGCCACCTGTTAAAACTCCCGGAGTATTTAGGAAAATAATCAACCGAGTACCAAGTGACCTGTGTTAATTTACACAAGTAAAGCAAGGGCTAAAGCACACACAGTTTCTGACAGAAAAAATACGGAGAAACATCTACGCAGCTTTGCTTCCCCTGATTTTTATATTGGGTGATAAGCTTGATATTTTGTTTTTCTTGCTCAGGTGGTTGGACTAAGCAAGATGATGTACCTCTTCCAGTGCGTATGAAGCAGCATCATGCCATCTTAGAGGAGGGAGTTCTTGATCCTGAGAGTACTGTCCTTGCTATCTTCCCTTCTCCCATGATGTATGCTGGTCCCACGGAGGTGAGAGGTCATGACCTTAAGGTCACTCTTCTATCTTTCTTTTCCTAAATCCTCTTCTTGAAAGCTACTTTATAAAGGTGGGATATATTAATTTCCTAAAAGTCATAATTCTGGGCTGTAGGCGAGTCCACCACAACATCACAAGTCTGCTAAAGTAAAGTAAATCGCTAGACAATTAACCATATGAGTCACAAACATTGCTTTGGATGGAAAGTTTGAGGCATGTTTAAACGTAACAAAAAAATGACAAATTTAGCACACTTGACCACTTGATGCCGGGATTATTTTTGGCCGAAAAACGCCACAACATATAAGGACAACATATATCGGGCTAATTTTACAATCACATCAAACGCTTGTGAGTCGTTTGTACAATATTTGTGCAGTGCTTCTCGATTTAAATTTATATATTGCAACATTCTGAGAACCCGCCATGGAGCGATATTTGCTACGACGACAGGTTGTGTACAACGGCCAAGTTCGAGTACAACACATGGTGTGTACAGACCAATGGGAACAAATGACGTGTATACACGTCCAGCGCTGAGACTTGGGGGGGGGGGGGAGAAAGCTTGATGATTTAACCCGTCACCCACCCCTGCGAATGTACATTGCCAGATCATGTTTACATGTCTTCTGGCATTAACTGGTTATAAGTACTGGAATTCTTTGAAGGTTGACTTCAAGTTTTAATTTGAGAAATGACCGCAATGACAAGTAACACCATAATTGTATTTTATTAAGAAGTCTTCAAGGCTAAGAAGTTCATGGCAAATAATAATAATAATGCAGACTTTACTTTGTAGACCGACTCTAAATATGTGTGGTTTTTTTTGGATGTGTTGTAGGTTCAATGGCACGCCAAAGCTCGTATGTCCACCGGTGCCAACTTCTACATTGTGGGGCGTGACCCCGCTGGTATGCCGCACCCAGACGGTACCCGAGACCTCTATGATCATTCCCATGGCAGAAAGGTAAGGTGTACAGCTGGCTATGGGTAGGAATCATCTCAGAAAATTGGTTCATTTGAGTAATCCCTTTGGTAAAATGACAAGATTTGCAGACTCTAATAGTGGAAGAATGTGTACCACAAACGGGTAAACCGTCTGTTTCAGACTTGCATTTAGATTCGTGTGTGTGTGAATGATGTGCTTTCCCATTCAGAAGAGGCGGAGTATCATTAGTGAAACATTCCAAGTCTTCTGCATTTGGAGAAGCAACCTTTATTTATTTTATTTGCCTCCATTCTTGTGTCCTTCAAGATGAACAACCAGTTGTTTATATATCCAAGAATTTATTGCAATTTTATCAACATAATCATGGATTTTATTAACCTAATCATGAAAATATAGTGAAATCCACCAGTCCAAAACAGATCCCGTGTACAGGGCGAATAAAAAAAACGAAACCCGAATGTCAGGACAATTATTTCAGTGAATTTCTGCATGTGGCATTTTCAAAATCTAGGATATGAAAGCCCAATTCATAAGCTTTCTTTTAGTTCAAGAATCATTCAAATCACTCATGTACTTTTCAAGTTACGGAATTTTAAACACAACCACCGTTTTAAGGTTCTGTCCACGGATCACCAAAAAGGTGTGCGTTCTTTCAGCAAAACAAAAACAAAAAAAAAACAAAAAAATTCCATCTTATAAAACGAAAACAATTCACACATAATCACTATGTAAATTGTTTTGGTTTTGCTGAAAGAACACTTACCTTTTTGGTGAAGTCCACTTGGCGAACATTCCGTTAGCTACTGGGATAGGTAAACTTATCTTTCTTTGTTTGTTAATGTTTGTTGTTTAATCCGTGTAGGTGTTGACCATGGCTCCAGGTCTGACCCAGCTTGAGATTATACCATTCCGCGTCGCTGCCTATAACATTAAGAAGAAAGCTATGGACTTCTTTAATCCAGAGAAGAAGGAAGACTTTGACTTCATATCTGGCACTCGCATGCGTAAGCTGGCACGCTCAGGAGAATTACCTCCAGAAGGCTTCATGGCACCACTCGCTTGGACCATTCTGTCCGACTACTACAAGTCTCTGCAGCAGAAGTAATGCAGGAGCACCCCCTCGTGTGGTGACCCTGTGTGGCAACAGCGCCCTCATGTGGTGACCTTGTCAGCTGATAATACACCTGCGTTATCTGAGCAATCAATTTTAATAAAGTGAACTAGTTTCTTGTAGGTTATATCGTCGATGTCTTGTTTTAAAGGCGCGGTTTTTTTTTAGAAATGGTTGACTGGAATTTGAAAAAGTTCACTGACCCTTGACGTGCACATGGAATCTTGTGATTGACTTGTCAAGTCGCTCAATGCATGTACTAAGTTCATGACAATCAGAACATCAGAATGCATTTCTGTAAATTCTGTGAAAACTGAACATTTTCAAATCTCTTTTCTTGATTTGTCTTTGCAAACTCCTTTTTCTGTTTTCACTTCTTGTGGTCAGTTGAATTATTTCCTTGGTCAGACAAAATTCGGAATGCAGCTTTTATTGTTCAAAGTCTTCCATAATATGATTTCAGAAAAGTTAGCTGTTCTTTTATTGGTCATTTTATTCCATATTCCAGCTCCCTTTACTGTAAGTGCACTGAATTATGTTGCTTTTTAAATGAATTTGCTCGTAGCTATTGTTTTTGTTTCATATGCCATTTCATTATGTCATTATTTCAAATTCAAGTCCTAAGTCCAGTTGTCATAGTGAAAATAATGTATACCAAATATTTGTGTTAGTTGTTTACCTCATATTTTTGTTAGTTTTAGTGTGTTGTTTCTATGGTCTCGCTAAATCCAACAATGCAGTAACCTTTTACCAATTTCATGGGCTGCTACTCAGAGAAATTTGCTATAAAACGGCAAAAAGTTTCAAAGGAAAAGCGGCTTTGCAACAGATGAGCTTGGGCATGTTTTGCAGAGTTTATGTAAACGTGTGTGTTATGCAAAGTTCTGGAGTTAGCAGCTTCATCCAATCTGCCTGTAGGCTTTTTATGCTTCACGTGTGCTAATTTAATAGAGTCTTAAGCTGTTGTCCAAAGCCATTAGAATTATTGTTTAATGAAGGCATAATTTTCCACTTGTAGCATTGTTTTCATAAAAGGAACTGTGAACGGCATTCTAGTGAAGGATTTAATTGATTATGCATATTGCAAAATTGCACTCGTATTGCATAGTGCATTCATAGTGCATTCAATTGATCGCTCAACTTGCTTTGATACTTTGTGTTTTTAATTAGTTAGGACATGTTTGAAGGTGTATTCATGTATTCGTGTGTATTTAACTTGTACGTCTTATGAGCACAACTTTTAGAACAAAGAAAGCACTAGAAAATGCTGCGTAAAGTCAGACTTAATAGTTTGTTCGTTCAATTGGCCGTTCAGATGACATGCAAATCTATACAAGTGCCTGTCACGTACCATATATAAACTTTTTAAAATATCTGAACAAATTTTGTGCAGAAAACAAATTATGACCAGTTAAAAATGCCGAACTGCTCAGTGGTCTTGTACAATAAACTTATGTATGGAGAATCATGAATTCAACAATGCTACTATGAGGGAATTTGAAAGGTTAGTGATGCAACAGAGAGGACGTTGTTTTAAATGTGCAAGGGTCCAACAATTTATGTTAATCACTGTATTAATACTTATCATTCCATGAAATAGTCTATGAACTGGACTGATAGAGGGCGCTGTTCATTGATCCTCGGTTACATATAAATGATTCGTCATGAAATCAATTTATCAAAAACTTTGGCATCGCTTACTTTTTGCATTGCCTCTTGGTTTGACTCCAGGTTCTATTCGTCAGTGACAATTTGTAATGTTAAGTTTTTAAACTGGAACAAATTACAGAAACATGCAGTTTCCAATCCTTCAGCGTTACAGAAATTCCTATTTGTCGTAGTGTGGATTTGTTCATTTTTGGAAGTGTGTAATTAAGTGTGTGTTTTCAAGTATGTCAAGGTTGAAAATTGCTTGTTTCTGAATTCCTTGTTTTAATTTGGGGCTCCTAGACTTGTTTAATACTTTGATTTTTCTTAAATCCAAAGTCTTCGTTTCAGATGCATTTATCAAATAAAATTAACTCTTGTCTTGCAGTTTTTATGATTATAAAAGAATATCTTAAAAGTTGGGTCATGAATGAGTGTAGGACTGCCAATGTAATAATACAGAGCCTATTTTTCTAAGTCAATAATCATGGCATTAAAGAATTAAATTGATAAAGTTACAAAGAGTACAAAATAAACCTTCTTTTTAATGCATATTTGTTTTAAAATTTGTCAGTTGTGTTGAAATTTCACATTTTCCCCAATACTTTAATCGCACCTTTGCGCATAATTCATGCACTAGGCTATTGAATGCTGGCAAGATTGGTCCCCTTCAAAAAATGCATAGAAACGGGTGAAATTTGTCAGGATTTCCTGATTTTGAGATTTCCCTGTAGGATTTTTTTTTTTTTTTTTTTATCTGGAACGCCTTCACCGCAAAGGTGTTTATATTTTTAAAAAATGTTTGTACATGTATAACACTAGAAAGGGGTATTTTATTTTAAGGGGTACCTATAAGTAAATGCAAGCATACAATATGGGGTATTAAAAAAAAAAAAATAGGAAACCCAACTGGATGACGTTCTGGATGTAAAAGCCCAATTCAAAAAATTAAGTCTTTTTCAGTAAAAGAATTGTTCCTATATAGCTCAGGTACTTGAGTTATGGACATCTAAACACAAACACAGTTTTATAATTTTTGTCCAAGGATCCCAACAACCATGCTAACTGGCACTTATCATAACCTTGATTGAAATAAACACTTTCTGCTTCCAATGTTTAAACATGCTTTACCCGGAGACTTTCTCATCCGAAATCTGTAAAACGCAACATGCAGAACTTTAGGGGGCGCCATTTGGGTTTCCTTTTTTTTTGACTCGCCCTGTACATGTACCATAGACCCTGCATTGTTCAGGGGCCCTCGCCATCGGCGACACGTACACTCTCAAACCCTCTGTTCATTATTTCGTGGATTTTTCATTTGCTCCCAATCTCACACCGGTACGCTGTTGAAATTTTGAAGCAGAACACCTTTAAAATATCCTTCTTCCCTGGCCTAAAACTATTTTTGCCCGAAATCATTACAAGTGTAGATGGATGAATGAATGAATGAATGAATGACTAACCATGTGATGCTCTGGTGTGGTTTGGGGTGTTTTTTTTTTGGGGGGGGGGGGTTGATAATTAGGGGCGCCTACCCTTCTGCCTTTAACATCCCCACACACACGACATGCCCTTTTCCCTTTGACATTATTTTCCCTTCGTGCCTTTTGTTCCTCCTTGGAATTTTTCTTCATGCCCTTTTCCCCTTTCCCCCCATGGCATTTCCCCCCTAATACCCATTTTCCCCATGACATTTTTTCTGTCATGCAATAGTTTTCCCCCATGGCATTTCCCCCATTGCATATCCACCAGGTTTCACTCGTGTCCCTTTCCCCCAACAGCATTATTTCCCTATGACATTTCTCATGCCCCTTTTTCACCACATGTGGCATTCTTCCTTCATGCCTTTTTTTCTCCACGCCATTTTCCCTTCATGCCTTGTTTTTTCATCATGGCATTTTCCCCCATCGCAACAGTGGTCTATGTTTTGTGCACAAACAATTAATGCGCTTTGCGAGAAGACTTGTTCCTAATCCGTACATACACTGTATGGGCGAAAACCAGCCTATACCCCGCGATAACGGAAATATTAGACAGTAATTCTAAATTGTTAAATAATTCAATAACTAAACGTGGGCCGATTTGTTTTCGATCGATGTCTCATTCAAAAGTGACTAACTTTTGTACACGTATAGCTAGAAAAATAGCAGTTTAGAAAAGGAATCTTTATTTCGGGATGGCAATCGAAATAGCATAGGGAATAATGCAACTTTAAAACATATTTTCACTTGATATATTCATCTTGCAACAAGTTGTGTGAAGCTCGTTTCCAAGAAAAAGAAATACTTTTGGGCTATTATCAGCCAACAACAATTATAAACATGTGGGGTTTTTTTAATTTGGGGGCTGACATGTTTGAACAAAATTAAAGTGCTCGAAACGGTTGATGGGAATTGCCCCACCATGCATCCCTTTCCTGCAAAGTTCCCAGACAGATGTGCGGATTCAAAGAAAATGATACGTCCTGCAAGTTTCGGGGAAAACTCTGTAAAAATGAGTGCTCTTAATTGATTGTTAATACCCGAATCTTAAATATACAAAGATGTACTGACATGAATATTAAAACATGTTCATCTGAGTCATTCACAAAAACAGTCAGATTTGACCAAATTGAACATAGCTATGTGCAATACTTGGCACTTTTATTTAGTTGAAACCTTGCCAGCAAGATTGCCTGGGGGCAACAACAAATAGGGATAGCTGAAGAACTGGGAGCAACTATAATGCGTCAAAATCTTGGAAAATCATTCAAAAGAGTAATAATTGCACAAGAAGCTATAACTACAGCATGTTTATACAGTGAAAACTCCATATTAAGTACACATCGATTCTTACATTCATTCAGTTTACATGTAAAGCATAATATTTCATTCAGTGCAGGTAAGGTACAGTTTGAGGGACTATAATCAACGATATAATACTATTACAGAACAAACAAAAATGAGGCACTTGGAAATAGGTTTCAAAATCCCGTCAATCAAAAACAAAATTTTAACCCCATAGTAGCATTGAAAAAATTACAGGCTAGTTAATGCAATGAAATAACGTAATTTAATTAAGAAGTGAAGACAAAAAGTAACCTTATATCCAATAATATACAGTAGCATTCCTTTGATACGGTGACCATAAAACGGCCAAAGAAAACAGAGCTTGAATTTATTATTATAAAACTAAAACCAATGTTTAAATGATTGTACAAGAGAAACATATTATTAAGTCTTCAAGCCTTGCTCTGCATTAAATCATTTGAAATACAGGTACCCTTCAACATAAAATTCCTCGTCTTATATGGACAGCATTTCAGATGGATTTACTTCAATATGATTTGGTAAATGTAGTGTTAAAATATGTATAAATCATAAAAGCGAACACACAAGGCACAAACGAAAAAAGTTCAGGCAGTACTTTAATGCAATATTGTATTTATAATTTTAACATCTCTAACGGCACTGGAAACGAAGTTGTTGCTGTGTACATACACTTTTTTGGTAAAGTATATACAATCTCACATATACATGCGTACCGCCTCTTCCTTTTGATTTGTTTCCGGTGTCATTTTCTCCCCATGGCATTTTTCCTTCATGCCCTTGTTCCCCCCCCCATGGAATTTCACCTTCATGCCATTTTTCCTTCCATGGCAGTTTTCCTTCATGCCCTTCACCTTCCACGACACTTTTCCTTCATGCCCTTTCCCGTCCATGACACTTTTCCTTCATGCCCGTTCCCTTCCATGACACTTTTCCTTCATGCCCTTTCCCGTCCATGACACTTTTCCTTCATGCCCTTTCCCTTCCATGACACTTTTCCTTCATGCCCTTTGCCTTCCATGACACTTTTCCTTCATGCCCTTTCCCTTCCATGACACTTTTCCTTCATGCCCTTTCCCTTCCATGACACTTTTCCTTCATGCCCTTTCCCTTCCACGACACTTTTCCTTCGTGCCCTTTCCCTTCCACGACACTTTTCCTTCGTGCCCTTTCCCGTCCATGACACTTTTCCTTCATGCCCTTTCCCTTCCATGACACTTTTCCTTCATGCCCTTTCCCTTCCATGACACTTTTCCTTCGTGCCCTTTCCCCTTCCATGACCCCTTTCCTTCATGCCCTTTCCCTTCCATGACACTTTTCCTTCATGCCCTTTCCCCTTCCATGACACTTTTCCTTCAGGCCCTTTGCCTTCCATGACACTTTCCTTCATGCCCTTTCCCTTCCATGACACTTTTCCTTCATGCCCTTTCCCTTCCATGACACTTTTCCTTCGTGCCCTTTCCCCTTCCATGACCCCTTTCCTTCATGCCCTTTCCCTTCCATGACACTTTTCCTTCATGCCCTTTCCCCTTCCATGACACTTTTCCTTCAGGCCCTTTGCCTTCCATGACACTTTCCTTCATGCCCTTTCCCTTCCATGACACTTTTCCTTCATGCCCTTTCCCCTTCCATGACACTTTTCCTTCAGGCCCTTTGCCTTCCATGACACTTTCCTTCATGCCCTTTCCCTTCCATGACACTTTTCCTTCGTGCCCTTTCCCCTTCCATGACCCCTTTCCTTCATGCCCTTTCCCTTCTATGACACTTTTCCTTCATGCCCTTTGCCTTCCATGACACTTTTCCTTCATGCCCTTTCCCTTCAATGACACTTTTCCTTCGTGCCCTTTCCCCTTCCATGACACTTTTCCTTCATGCCCTTTCCCTTCCATGACACTTTTCCTTCATGCCCTTTCCCTTCCATGGCACTTTTCCTTCATGCCCTTTCCCTTCCATGACACTTTTCCTTCATGCCCTTTCCCTTCCATGACACTTTGCCTTCATGCCCCTTTCCCCATGACAATTTTTTTTTTTTACCCATGGCATTTGTTCCCTATGGTATTTTACCATTCATATCATACCTTTTTTCCCCTCCGTGTAATTTTTCCCTCATGCCGTTTTTTTCCCCACGGTAATTTTCCTTCATGTCATTTTTCCTTCATGACATTTTTCCTTCTTGCCCTTTTTTCCTCCATGACATTTTCCCCTTCTTGCCTTTTCCCCCTTCTTGCCCTTTCCCCCATGGCAAGTTTTCTCTTATGCAAGTTTTTCCCCATGGCATTTTTCCTTGTGGTATTTTTGCCCTCATATCATGCCCATTTTCCTTGCGGCATTTTCCCCATGACAACACCCATTTGTTTACCTTCACAATTTTGCTTTATTTTGACTGAACATTTTGGAAAGAAACAAATATGTTAAACATGTATCAAACTGTGAATCACTGTAAAATCCAGAGATGTTCCTCATCAAACTACAGAGTAAATGAAACTAAAAGAAAAACTAAGCCTTTACACAATGAGACAAGTACATGTTTATGTATTGTGTCCTGGCTATTTGAAGCTTAAATCAAATTCAAAAGACAAATACAAAAAAGTCCCTGCAATTTCCACTTCTAATTACAAAATTACAAAAGCATGACATATACATGTATATCTGAATTGACTGACAAATGTCTGGGATTTGTTTTTTTAATTAAAGGGAATGTACATAATTGGCTTTTGCTGTAATTTCCAGAAATGGAGTATTTGAGGGGTTAGTATAATATATCAAATATTGTTACACTGACATGTTTGAAGTTTTGTGTTCAAAAATGCTGGAAAAACCAAGAAAAACAAAATTGTTTAAGTAGTCTGGTTCCCTGACTCCACTAAAGATGAAAGGAATCAATTTATAGTTGCCAGAAAATTGCAAGGTAAGGGAACCAGTCTAGCTGGCTTGCACCCGTTCATGAACATGTAACCAATACCAAACAAAATTTGGATTAAAAAAAAGTAAATTTGGAGCAGTAGTTGAAATATAGTTAGGTTTTTCCAACGGTGGTCGGCCGACCACCGTTGGAAATGTATACAAAAATACCATTTTCTTGAAAATGACTTCACACCAGGTGCCATAATTTTACAGGATGCTATTAGACTGTCATTTACCATCATCCTAGTAAGGTATTTCTTAAAAACTTGGTGGTTTTATTTTTCGATGTTTGCAAATGTTGTATATTCCCTTTAAATGATGAATTGGCAATTACAGTCTCCTGAGAATTTTTCACAAAACACAATCTTATGTTTTTTTGGTTACATTTGATGTTCCCATTTCGTATCACACAATTAAGTGTACAGGATGAACAACAAATCTACAAACACTTTATAAGAAAGTATGTTGAAACAGAATCACAAAAAAATACATATGAACTAAAGGGAAAAACTGTGAAACATTTCAACAAAGTTGAAGCAAATGCAATTGCAATACTGTAAATGAAACACAGTTGAAGCAGAATTTAAGAAAAAATACAAATGAATTGAAGGAAAATAATTGCAGAACATTTTGCCACAAGAACGTTAAAGTATCTAATATCAGTACAGCATTTCATTTCCGTTTCTAACTAAAACCACCACACTTCCTAACCACTTCTAAAATCCCTGAAACTTTCCCAAGGGAATTTCTGCTAATTCCTGCACCAGGAAGCTATGAACAAATACGTGATTTTGACATATCTGCGTACGATGAGACTTCGCTTCGAACAAACAGTCCAATTTAACTGTGCCGTCTCTCAAGAACACACCAATATCTTATCAAAACTCCTTAGTACATTAAATACGTTTGATAGTACCGGTAATTGCATATTCTGACAAACATTCATACATCTCAAGCATTATGGAATCCTATATCCACACACAGTTGTGCAACTCGGGTAATATTACAAAGTACTCTCTTTTCCACCATGCTTCACAAGTGCACACTAAACCATTGAAATAAGTTGCGTACATTCACTGACACTCCCAGCCACCTCCAGTTGATGTGACTCAGTGTCCACTTCATGTGAACCATGCACAAATTGCACATTACGTCCTTCATTTGCTATCTTGTCTCCCTCACATGACTCTAATTTGCTCCATATGGCAGGGTTTTTGGTGAAATTTGCATCTTTTTATGTCATTAATTAGTCCTTCTGATTTGAAAATCACAGGCGTGTGGAAAAAAACACACCTGGATTTTTTTAGGCGTGTGATTTTTCTAGGCGTGTGATTTTCTAGGCAAGTGATGTTTTAGGTGTGTGATTCTATGGTCCAAGCTGGGCTTTTTTTGTCTTCACTGACGTACTTTATTTTTCACAAATTATGAAGTATAATTATGCTGTAAATGTATGCCGAGATGTGCGGTACTGAGGGATTCAGGCGTGCGATTATTCGCACTTCTCAGGAAGCGTGTCATGGCGTGGGGGTGTGATCGCACGCCTCAAAACAGAAGGACTGATTACTGGTGATGTCCCTGAGCAAGCGCTTTACAGAGACGGATATTACAAAGACAGATCACTGGCCATTTTTTTTCCCAAGGATATGGACAATTATTAAGTACCAATTAATCAAGGCACGTTTGCACTGTACACACACAAAACCCCCTTCAAATGGAGAAACCATTGTGAATGCTATTGTACAAAGCAGCTGCCCTGTGACACTTGCTAGCACAATGCTTTCGCCACTTAACGAGGCCTCCATGATAAAGGTGATCAGAATGTATTGATTAAATTGATTAAAGCTGTAGATAAGCTTTACATATATGTGCAAGTTATATGATTAAATGTTCATGAAGATTACTATTGTGGTAAACTACCCCATTCAGTAGCTGATAATATATGTCCCACATCCTAAGGATATAAGCTGATTCAACTGATTAATTTGAGATACCTGTGTTTCATCAACCTATGTAAAACCAATTTGTTGTCATTATTCTCACATTTCCTACTGCTCTTAGGCAGTCCTTCACCATGGGCCTCCAACAATTTCCTCAAGGGAATTCAAACCAAAGATCTTTCCCTCATGTACTCTTAGAAAGAAACAAAACCCCTTCATGATCTCAGGAGCTATCGATGCACTTGTTGACGTGACGCTGAAACTCTTCCAAACGATCCGCTGGGTATTCCCTCTTACATCTCGGGCATTCCAGAGGCTTCCGAGACAAAGAGAAGCTTGACTGCATGGAATGGTAACTGCTTCTTTCAGGAGTCTTACCAGGCATTGTTGCCCCCGAGCTGGTCGAGTAGAATTCCCCCATGGAATCTGACAAATCCTTACCGTCTGCTACATCCTGCCCTGGCCCATCACATTCTATGTCATGCATGTCATGAAAGCCTTCCTGCCAGGGGGAGCTCTTGGGTCCCTTGAAGGCGCACCGCTGATTGCTGAAGGTTGGCGCTAGGGACATGGCTGAACGGCTGCCCTGTGGCTTGAGCGCATTCAGCTGTTGCTTGAGTTTCCTATTTTCCTCTCGTTCCCTATGGAGATCATCTGTCAGAAGGTCAACCTAGATTGAAGACAATAAACGCTTGGAATTAACAAACTGAAATCAGTGTATGCGCTGAGCGAGGTTAACAAAGGACCTGTGCTTTATTTCTGAGCAAGTTCATGGACAAACTTGAAACCCGTGTCAAATTACTCCGAAGCTTTACATTAGCTTCAATGTTTGAAACAGGAGCAACTACACATGAAAAGAATCAAAAGATTGCTGCAGTCATTCAGAATGACTCCAGACTCTAACCAATTGTACTACATTGTACTAAAACTCTATTTGGGCCAACCTGAGTTGTGTCTAATGCTTTCTGGTAAGGCAGTGTGAAATGAGTGTGAGTTGTTCATAGATTCTGACGTTACCTGTTGGCCCATACGTTGGCAGTTCTTAGTCCATTGCTCAACAATGAAGTTGTTCTTCTGCTTCTGAGATGTTGAATCCTGCTGCTCCTGCCTCAGGTCTTCCTCATAAAGCTTCATCTGTAAGATGGAACAAAGGATTGTGGGTTACAAGAGATTGCAATGGATTCTTGGTAAGAAAGAGTTAAGGACCCTATCTTGCCTGTCAATCAATCAAGTGAATTGACCAATTGACCTATCGCCCTTTGCGAGTTAGCCACGCCCCTTAGACAACCCCATGGAATTTATGTACACTACTTTTTGCTTGTATCAGATTTTGTGAGTTCAGCGTCCATTTGTACATCATGTAATTGGACAATATTTTACAAGCTGCGTTGAGGCGATTCTCAGTAACACGATTCCACCGAGACAGGTCAATTAGATTACTAAGCTTAGTCAGGTGGCATCGTCAGGGGACCCCGTGTAGATAGAGGAAAATACACAGACCAGTGTTCTTTAGTCTGAAATGAAAATCTTTTAAGGTCAACTTAATTAGTCCTGATACTATTTGGTTTTGGCGCCAAAATGTTGGGGGGGTGGGGGTTATTACCTGTGCTCGGACCACCATATCGACTTCCTTCAAGTCAGCTACCTCTTGTTTGAGTTTAGCAATCTCTAGCTCCAAGCTGCGACAGTTGGAACATTGCTGCTGTTTCTTCTGAATATCCTGCATTGTCTCCATCAGAGCGTTGTAGCGCTGCTCAAATATCTGCAAGTGAGAACAATGTCAGTCAAAATACACTCCACTGTGAGTAACCTACGGAATTTGTCAGTGAAATTTGAAGAAACCCTGAAACGCTGATTTATTGTCAAGCTCACATTTCATCTTGAATTCCCTCAACTAATATCACTGTTGCTGTGTAATTGTGTATAACATGATTCAGGCAAGCTCTTACACAGTTACATGAAGACAACCAAGCATGAATACATTGTTCAGAGTGGGTGAGAATGTCAAGACACCAGACTACCAGAACCTCCAGTGCAGGAGGTTGCTGGAATGGAATTCAAATTTAAATTTACATAGGAACAAATGGAACAAAAACTCTAGAAAAGGGCTTAAAGAGCCTTTTTCAAGGTTTGCTAAAAGAGGTAACTGGTTAGTAATTAAATGGTGGAGGGGACGGTTATAGAAAGGAGAGAGTTACTTTAAGGGCTATAACTTACCTCTCTTTGTTTTTCTGCCTCTTGTCGATTTTTGATCAGCTGTTTATTATCTCCTGTCACCTTCTTGAGCTGAGTGTCAAGATGCTGAATCTTTTCATTGAGTCGTTGCTTCTGCTGCTCAAACTGGTCCAAGGATACTCCTCCATCAGCCTTTAGAAAAGGAGGAAAACATTTCTTAAAATTTTCAAATTCTTACACACGGTAGTAAAGCTACAGATGTGTTTTGCTTTCACAATAGATACATGGGAATTCAATTAATGGGGAGAAATTTGAACAATTTCCAAGACGTTTCTTTTCCAGATGTTCAGATGGATGTTCTTACCTCATCTTGTCCCTTTCTGGTGCTCCCAGTTTTCTCAGAAGTGCTCTTCTTTTTCCCCTCCTCCTTCTGGATTGGAAGGAAGACTTTGGAGTCATGAACAGCACGGCCGTCTTCCTTTTTGAATGGACCATATTTCTGGAGCTCGTCTTTCAGTTCCTCACAGCGTTTGGACAAGGTATCTATCATGACTTGGCTTAGGTTTAGTCTCTTCTCAAGTTTCTCATTCTACAAGGGTAGAAATAGTCAATACCAACCAATTATCAAAAGTCAACTCTTTTATTCAAGTCAGTTTCAAACAAGCAACACAGCCAAAAGAATGTATCTTTATCATGTTTTTGTCCTGTATTGCACGCAGTGATTTTTTTCCTTTAAACCCTTTCATGTGAGATGAAGAATAAGGGATTCGTTTGCTTTCTCGCAACATGCCCAGTGAAAGTCAGTCCACGTGATAAGCATTAAATTGTTAAAAAGTTTGACGTGGCCTATTTGTGATGCTTCACCATGCTTCCGGTACATGTAGCTGTTCACATACAAGTACTTTACAAAATGCCACCACTTGTTTGAAAGTACGTACATGTGCATATGCAGTCCATCTTGGAAGATGTTATTTAATCCTCCTATGCAAACATACATTCCATGTAAAGTTGGGGTTTTTTTCAGTCGAATCAATCAAGTGACTGCTTTTAACAGTTAAGAGCTCCCAACCTACATAAAGCAGGGCTGACTGGCTGTGACTGCTTTATGTAACTTAATACATGTACATCTATGCTTTGACTGTCGATGAGTGATAATCAAGCTGTGCCTACCAAATTGCCTGCTTTTGTCTGTTGACTAGATTTGATAAGTAACAGTGCTTGGAATTTTACTGTTGGTGACTAGCCTGTGTATAAAGGCATGGCAGGGGAAGAGGATTGATTTTTTGTGACGGTTTGTGACTGTTCAGACAGCAGGAGGGTTACAGGGACTTGATCAATTTCTGTGTTAGAACTAAAATGGCATTGGATTGGGATTCCTACATGCTGTTTTGTAGTTAGGGGGTGGAAGAAGCCAGACAAAACAGCCTGTTTTCCAAACAGTTTTAACAGATATCTGTGACTGAAATGGCTATTGTATCTCAGATAGCTGTTTGTGCTGAATAAACATCGTACTTTATGAACTCTGTGAATGAACACCAGACATGCTAGATGGTGCATTCAGATCACGTGTATAAGAGCTCCGTATGTGGGGCACACTACTGCATGTCCACACTTTGTACACAGCACAAAGTACACTCAGCTAAAGGCCCGAAATCAGGAAATCAGAATCCATGTCAGCCCATGGTTGGGCTGACATCCATGGAGCTATTAAACACATGTAGGGCAGACAACCGTGTGTGTGGTGCGACACAATCACACAATACAGTTGACTCTCGTTAGTACAAACTCTGTTATACAAAATTCTTGTTTTAACAAACATAAAGCCTTGGTCCCGACTGTGCATTTATATGCACAATGAATGGGACTGATGTTCCTCTTAATACAAAATTCTGATATAACAAACAATTTGGCTAGGTCAGAACGAGTTTGTTATAACGAGACTCGACTGTACACGGGTTGAAACATTACATGTGCAGCAAAAACGCTGGTGTTGCGTTGAGTAGCGTGAAAATGTAGGGAAATTGAACCCTGTTGACATTTGACATGAATCGACGTATATAGTGCAAAAAGTTTGCCCGAGTCCCTGTTACATATGTACATTGTGTAACTCTCTCTCTTTGCAACTGTTGAGTGAGTACATGTGCGTGGAGTCTATAGGCCTGCTCCACAAGAGTAACAACAATAACTGCCTTCAGACAAACATTATGGATTTGTGCTTTAATTCAGGAAGATGCTCACTTACCATAAACTGCAGTTGGACTATTTGACTGGCTGGTTGGTCCTTCTTAGAGCATAGCCTGTCAATCTTCTCTAACAATCGCTCATTCTCATCTGCTTTGTCTTGGATGTCTTCCTGTAGCTTCTTAATGGTCTCTTTGTATTCTGCGGCTTCCTGTGTGTTGTGAGACAACATTGAGCACGTTCAGTCAAGGTCCGTTGCTTGACTGGTGATGTAATGATGTAATTGTACACGTGATGTAATTTCACACCTGCGCACTTATACATGTAACAAGGTGCAAAAACCGCTCCGTAGACTCGTCCAAAACAGACCGATTCACTAAGTAAGCTCGGACCACTGCACACACGTTGGGCAACAGCATGTGCGCCTTTTCAATGCCTGACTGCATGTGCCAGGAGCAAACATATGCGCGTGCATGCATGTCAGCCTTGTGGAGTGCTGAGGCCTCGTGGTCTGTAGCATTGAATTCGTGGTCTGCAGGTAACTCTGAAGGTTGTAGGTTCGAGTCTAGCCTGGGGTTATGGTTCGTGTGCCCTTAGACAAAGCACTTTGTCACTCATTGTTTCTCCCCACCCAGGAGTAAATGGGTGCCTGTGAGGGCAGAGATAGTTATTGTGGTTGATTTAGCTGCTTTGCGCCGAAATGGCAACATCGAGCTGTATACATGTACTCCCCAGGGAGCTACAGTTGGAATATTGGCCCAATGAGCAGGGTAATGATGCAACGCCTTGAGCACCAATAATGGTGGATACATGCGCTTTATAAATACCCATTTCTGTTATTATTTTGTGCAGGCATGACAGACATTATGCAAGAGTGTGTTTGGTCAAACGAAATGACCATTAGGCAAGGTTTACTAGATCGGTCTATAAGCTAAGTTGACAAGACGAATCCAACTATTGTTGAGGAGGTCTCGGCAAAATATAATGCAATTACAGTTAACCATATTTCTCTCTTGAGCTTGCTCATAATTGGTTCCATTACACCTACATGTAGGTATCCTGTCCTTCCATAGATCTCTATGATTCAGTCATCAAGTGCATTGTGTTTTCAGTCCCTGCCTGATTCTTTGGGTTTTTCACTGGAAAGATAATTGCAGGATTTTCCTCCCACGCCTGATGAAATGCAATATTCTTTCATTGTCCTCTCCCTAGCTTTCGTTCGGCTATGAGCTCCGTGCGCTACCAAAAGAGGGCGCCCTTTCACCTAACAACGACGTCCCATGGGCAGGACATTTCGCAGGTTGACGCACACCGTTCCTTGTGTTTGACCCACGTACACCAGGGGATTTGTACTATTTACACGCAGTGGCATGGCCGCACTTCGCCGCGCAAACGAATTGCAGTCAGGCAAGATGGCGTCGGTCGGTCACCTCCAACTGTACTTCCTTTGCCGGTGAGGGGGTGCTTCTGAACAGAGCGGATTGCACTTGTTGCAGTGAATTTCCCGAATGTTGAGGAAATAAAATAACTCCACTTCAGAGGCATAGCGGCCCCCACCGCTATAGGCGGGGGGCCTTTTTTAGGAGTGCCCTTTTGGGGATTTGGCGTGAATGTTGGCAATTGTGCCACCCTGATAAGCGCCACCTACATGTACTGTCCGATAATTGGATGGATGAGTGCCCTTTTTCAAGTCTTCCCCTCCCCCCAATAAAAATGACCTTGCTACGCCCATTAAGCGACATATTATTGCAAAAGTTGAACAACATTGCGCAACTTTTACAGGTTTCGTTATGACTCATTTTTTTAAAGTTTCCCAATGAGTACCTGTACAACTGACGTCCCCAACTTACGCAACAAATTATGCAAAAAGTACTTGGAAAAAGTACCCTGTTGTACACAACTGCCCTTTTTCACCCAGCCATTACCCTCCTCCCTCCCCCCCCCAAAAAAAAAACCGAGTGCCCTTTTTTAGCCACAGCCTTTCTTACGAGTGCTGTTTTTAGAATTTGGCGTGAATGTCGGCAATTGTGCCACCCTGATAACTGCCACCTGCATGTACTGTCAGATAGTGCCCATGACCCTCCAATTTGAACAGCCCCGCCCCCCCCCCAAAAAAAACCTGTTGATTTTACCGAGGCCAAGTGACAAGTGAAAACAAAATGGCTTTTTTTCAGCACAGATGGATGAGTGCCCTTTTTCAAGTCCCTCCCCCAATAAAAATGACCTTGCTGCGCCTCTTTAAGCAACATGTTATTGCAAAAGTTGAGCAACATGTTTCGTTATGACTCATTTGAGTAGCTGTACATTTGACAGTCTGCAACTTGCTTAACAAATTATATGCATGTCATTTTATCATGCAAGGTACATGTATGGCATGCCACTGAATATGGACTGTTAACGTTACTGACCACATTGTACCAGTAATTGTGATTCTTGTGGAGTCTGCCATTGCTCAACTTATCAAGGTTGGAACCAGAAACCCACAGCTTTGTTTTTGAAGTGAATTGCTCTTTTACCTAATGACAAGATTTTTAGCCGTTGCCTCAATTTTTTGAAGAAAGTTGGACAAATATATTTTCAAATGGCGGTTCGAGGTGCCTCAAAGACTGTTTAAGTTTGTTAAATGTTGACTGGCTACACCGATTTTTGTGAAATTGACCACAGCCGTGCAACCAAATTGTTGCGCAAATTTGATACATTTGTACATTGTGTACATGTATGTAAGTTACACACTTTGTGAAATCGGCTGCAAATGGTACAAAAATGTTGAATTGGGTCCTTTTTAACAATGGTTAATTTTGACAGATGGTTGTAAGGGTATTTCCCAGATGCTCACTAGGATTGCTAACTAGGATTGGGCAATAAGGAACTTGAAAGAGGATTACATGTATCTGTATTATTTACAATGTAACGCACAATTGCTCCCACTCATCACGCTGGCGTGACTATTATTCAACTACATAATTCCATTGTCATGTTTGTTTTGTTATACAGAGGTCATAGTTTCAGTTTGACAGAGGCAATCAATCGTTATTGTATTTCCCAGCTTCCTGATTGCGAAATAGTTAAAAGGGAAATCCCCTTTGACAACATGGACAATGGTACATGTATTTAACCTAATTCTGCCTAGGACCTAACAATAGACCTATACCAATGCAAATAACAATGTACATGGGCATGTACCTTTTTATGTGTGCAATACACACTGTATGTACATACTCCCTGTGGCTTGTGTACATTTTGTTAAGACATCCACACTTAAAGGGTTTCAATAAGCACATGCACGTATCTGGATTTCATTAGACGATTACTTCAGTGATACTTTCCACAAGTCACTTTTGCAATTTCGTCAGAAACTCTCCAATGACAAGCTTGTTCTTCTTCCTTTAGGGTAATTCACAAAAGCAGAATATTTGCCCCAGGATTTGCTGACTAAAACACAACTTCTCACCAAGATTTTGTCGACATCTTGGCCTTTCTCCTTGGCTAGTCTTGTCAGTTCTTGCTTCATCAGCATCATCTGGTGGATGAAAAGCTCATGATGCTCGAATGATACACCGGGCTTGGGCTGGAATGGTACAGCAGGCTTGGGCCGGAATGGTCTGCTACTAGGCTGCTCATTATCTGGCCTGGACGACTGAAAGAACGGAATACAGTGACATAAATAAGAAGTCAGATGGCGTTGGAGTGGGGCAGATAACAGGCTGGCAGGGGAGGGGAAGATCCACCTGCTTCAGTTACTTATAGTGGTACAAAGCAATGTTATCTCCCTAATTACCTGGTGCCAATTGCATGGAGTTCCTAATAAAGCTATGAAATTTGCTGAAAATTATCTGATCAGTATCTGATTAGCACAAATGGGTTATCACCAGTCAAACTGCAATGCATTGCATAATATCACTTCTACAGGGTGAGTCAAAAAAAGCGGAACCCAAACCCCCAAAATTATATTTCATATTTAAAAAATATTTAGCACCAAAAATAATAATGACTTGAAAGCAATTTATTTTTTGGACGAGACAGGTTTTAGAGTCATTGCGTTTAAATGGTGATATTCTTTGAACGGATTGAGCAATTTCAATATTTTTTTGTATCTGAAACTAGTTTTTGAACTTGGCTTTCCAGTCATTATTATTTTTGGTGCTACATATTTTTTTTAAAATATGAAATACATTTTGGGGGGTTTGGGTTGACTCACCCTGTATATATACATGTACTGTAATCCTCAATATGACACAATGTATGATGTACAATGTACATGTATGCTCAGAATGTAAATTTGCTTAGTACAAAAATGTACATGTACACCATGTACACGTATGTAAGTTGTAACTCCTCTTTGGCATCTCCATGAAATTGGGACCTGGCAACATTACATGTACATGTAGTACAACCTTAACATCTTGCATCATTTGTGAACAGAAAGTGTGTTATAATTATTTAAATAAGTTTACATGTACTTACTCGAAACACGCAATGCTCATTGTACTTATTTGGTTTTAAAGTTTTTGGGGGTACAAAAAGAACATCTACATACAGTTTGTTGACAGTTCAGAATGTTGTTAATTTCTTTTATAAGAATCTTATTCTTTTTACATTTTTCCAACTTGAGGCCTTACAGTCAAATCATAAAAGGCATTCACAGACAAATAAAGCGTGTCTGTAGCGTGTGCATTCATCTTTGTGCTATTACTTAGGCCAACTAAAAGTGTTTCCAGTAACACTACCCCAAAAAACGGGGTCTACCCGATGTTCCCCAATTTCTACAATGTATGTTCCCCGAAATCCTTAAGATTAGGGTTAGGGCTGGAGAACATCAGTATTGGGGAACATAACTATTTTCTCGGTTACCAAAACCGTGCTCATGCTGGTTGTGTTTCAATCTTCTTCAGTAAACAACATGCATGGATTAACGAACAGAAAGTAAAACCAGCTTTCTCAACTGTGCGGACAATGAAATCACAACCTAAATGAGTACGGTACAGCAGGCTTTGGCCGGAATAGTCTGCTACTAGGCTGCTCATCAGCTGGCCTGGATGACTGGAAGAACAGGATACAGTGATAAAAAAAAGAAATCAGGTTGAGTTGGAGATGGCAAATAACTTGGGTGGAGGTTCCTAAGCGAAGGAATTTACTGAGAACAGATTATGCTTAGCAAAAAACAGGTTATTACCAGCCAAACTGCAATGCATAGTGATGCACACTTCCTCAGTGTGATTTACATGTGCGCTCAGAAAGTAAATTTGCTCAGTAATTAATTCCTCCTTGACATCTCCATGAAATGAACTTGTACAACCTTAACATCTTGCAACATTTGCAACAAAAAGCATGCTATACTACGTGTAATTATTTTTAATCAAAACACGTCATACTTATTTGGTTTCAAAGTTGGTTTGGGTAAGGCCAAAAAAAAAAATAAGTCGGTCTCTGGTCAGCGCGCGCGTCAATTTTAATCATGCGCGTCGATCTTTTTTTTCCCAAAATGTTCCGCGGTAGCTCCAACAGCGCCCTCTATTTCGCACCTCCTCATTTTTTTTTACCAAAGAGCACCAAGGAATGGGAAATTGCACCAAGGCAAATGATCGAAAGCACCAAGGCAAATTATGGAGGACACCAATGTACACGAGGACACAAAAAAAGCAAAATAGTACCCCACCTTTTCTGTACAATCCAAGCTTGAAGAAAAAAGAAAAAAAAAGCAAAAAAAAAAAAAAGCCGCGTGGCCGCGTCAATTCCGGAACTTTGGTCTGACCAGAGACCGAATATTTTTTTTTTTTGGCCTAACAAAGAATATATGGAAAATCGCACATTTTTAGATTCACAGTAAAAAAAAAAACCTTGACTTTAGACAAAACTAATAATGGTGAACGTACTGGTTGAGTCAGCATTTCATCCAACTGAAAATACATAGTTCAGAACCAATGCTATGCTCTTTTAATGGTTTTACTGTTTTAAGCGTTTCCAACTTGAGGCCTGACACAGTCCAATCAGATCATAAAATGCATTCACAAATAAACAAATTCATAAATTAATTCAGGCATACATGTACGCACACAAGTGTGTACAGGGCCTATTTACCTGCAATCGGAGACCCCCTATTGTCCCTCTTTTGTTTGTACTTTTACTTTTTAGGAAGACCTCCCATATGTTTTGCACACGATCAGAGATTGGGGACCTTCGGGAATTGGGGACCCTATTGTCCTCTATTGTTCAACATCCCATATTGAATGCAGAAACAAGCTCATATTATACATATCGTTATATGTGCATACATGTGCAATGTATAGTTTTGTACATGTATGTAATTAATTACTTAGGCCAACTAAAAAGTGTTTCCGGATAACAGTGCCCAGCAAAAATACATTCTTTTTAATGGCTCTGCTTTTGGAATGATTTCACACCCATTTTCTCGGTTACAAAATCATGCTCATGCTGGTTGTGTTTTAACCTTCTTCAGTAAGCAACATGCATGGATTAACGAACAGAAAGTAAAACCAGCTTTCTCAACTGTGCGGACAATGAAATCACAACCTAAATGAGTAACCGTTCTTAATGAAAACCATGACAGTCAAAAATAAACATGACAGAATTCAAAACAAGAGAAATTGATCAAGGAACTTTTGTTGGCAAGCCTTCTCGTTCAGCAAGGTCTGCCTCAATTGGCGAGCAATAACATACTAGCATGTCTGAACTTGCAATGTTCTGGGGTTCCCCCCACCTAGAAATGAAGTCTAATGGGAGTGCCAAGTACCAGTGTACCTCATGTCTATATTCAGCAATGACCACGTACATGTGTACATTCCATTGCTCTGCCCACACTGAGTAATCAATGCTTTAATAAGTGTATTGCAAAATCCAGCAACTGATGCCATCTTGAAGACGTGTTCTAAATAGAAATTTCTAACTGACTGCGTCAGACTGATGCATGTATTTTTTCAAAGATGCTGAAATATGAGGTGCTATGCAACAAAACAGTTCTCACTGTGATGCAAAAGTAAGCCCTGTCAATATCTGAATTTTCAATAATCGATATATATCGGAAATCTAATATTGAGAATATTCGATATAGGCCTATTGATTATCTTATGTAAAAATTAAAGACCATAAAGATGACACCTTGATTAAAAAAATAAATCAAAGAAAATAACTCCCAATTTTCCACGGCCTTTCTCTGGAGCATACTGCTAAAACTTTTCAAAAAAAATCTCAGCACTGATGTGTTTTTTCCAGACCGGGCATTTTAAAATGTATTTTTACATTTGGGGAGACCGCGAAAAAAAGGCGAGAAATCCAGCAAACGCAGAGCACAAAGCAACGCCACTTAACATTTCGCAGTGTTTTTAGTTCGAGTCACCATGGTCGCAAGCACAAGTTGCCGCCAAGTTTTGTTTCATAGCAAATGGTAAACACAAAGTAAAAGCACAAATGGGATCATTATCAAGCGAAATCGTCTGTGCTTAAATTGCAAAAGAAGTAAGAATTGAGTCTTTGTAACTTTTCATCCAGGGATGTAATTGAGTCCATCACATGTAAATCACAAACCCTTTCACAAGCCCAGTCACAAGAAACAGTGCAAAAAGAGTAACAATTTGACTAGCATGTGATTTGAATGAGGTCTGGATGACTTGTGATGGACTTGTGATTGACTCAACTACATCCCGGTTTTCATCATATGTGATGCGATCAAGCTAAATGAGTCATTTGTCAGGAATTTTTATTTGGAGATACAGGGCAAAATAGGGCCACTTCATCACATCACTTCATCACATCTCTTGGTGTTCCGACTTCCATAATTTTTGAACTACAGATGGTATCAGCATGCAGTATTCACAGCAGTAATGCTGAGATTGTGCTCTTTTCAAATCTGTAATAAAAAATTTTGACCAGGGTCGACAAACGACTCATGTAGCTTGATCGCATCACATCTCTTTTTGTCTAACTACTCAGACTCCTTATCATAATGAAAACCCCAAAAGGTTAGACCCATTTGTTCAGTTTCTCAAGTTAATTACCTTTACCGAAACGTAGGACTCGGAAAAGGGCTCCTTGAGATTCAAAAGAAAATCAAATATTATATCAATTTTTGTCTTTTTCAATGAAATACAAACCTCATGTTTATCTCCGCCGGTCTTCTGTGAAGCTTTCTGGGCCTTTCCAGGTTCTTCCTTGGAATAAGATGATGACTGATCTCCCCCTTGAATCTTGGTAACCCCTCCCCTCTCATCCTCATTCCCATGACATCTTGCACAAATCTTCTCTCGCTTCCGAGAGTTTGCCAATTCCGCGTTCAGTTCTGCGTTCTTTCTCTGCTGTTCAGTGAACTGCTGTCGTACCTTTGCAAGGTAAGCATCCGTTCGAGCAACATCCAGTTCCAGGTACTTTGACCGTTCTTTGTAACGTTCTGCATCCTGCTTGCTTGTTTGAACCTCCACGACCAGTTTCTTGAAGGCTCCGCTCTTTCTGTCTAGGGCAGCTTGCGCAGTTGCTTGTTGGGCGAAGAGGAGTGATAGTTGATGAGGGTTCAATTGCACTTGAGTAACACTTTGACCTAATAAGTTTGCCATTTAGATGACTTGCAATGCACGTTAATTCAAAGCACGAAACTTTCAGTAAGTTATAAAAATATTTGGCAAAGTTCTTGTGTAAGTCCTGTAAATGTTTATTGGGATCCTTTAATCGTTTAGTTCTTAGTTGTAGTTGTTCGCACCAGGTTAGGTAATGCATGTACATGTGTATGTACATCAGTGATATTCAGACGCGAGGTATTGCCTTCTGTGAACGAGAGAGTTGTTTTGTAGCACTCATTTCAACACTGCACCTCAATCCTCAATATGGTTTCCCTTTAAATCTATAAACAGAAAGGATGGAAGAGTTGTCAATTTTAACTGATTAACCAACAAGATTTCTGAATGTAAACATTTAAAGCTGGTGTATGTGTGGTCCCAGGAGCTACATGTAGAATGCTGCTTCTTCACGCTGCATTCATGCAGTACAGTAAACGCCATCCATATAACTCCTACTGTGCTACAACAGAAGGTGCTGAAGTAATGAAGTATACACCGTAGAACATGTACGTGTACATTTGTACATGTACAGTGCCTAATGCACATTGGAAGATTTTAACCTCTTTGATATTTTAACCAAAACGATTTTTACACGCACCAAAACAGTATTCATGAAGGCAGTGGTGATATTGCCGTGACCACCTGACCAATCACAGGGCACTTTGATTGGTCACCAATGCTTGCCAGGAAACAGTCTAGCCAAAGCTATGCATAAGTCTACTTTTCCGGAATTCAAAATGGCAGCCTCAAACAAGGCGTTTGTGACAAGGGTGTTTCCCAAATTGAAGGTGAAATTTCTCTTTTCTTCCCAAAGGTTACTCCTAGAACTATGAGGCTCTACATGGAGCCTCATAGTTCTAGGACAGACTGGGACCGTGAGTGCATAAAAACGTGCAAAATTACTACTGACGTTTTTTTTACTTCACCATTAGGATAATTAATGCCCACACAACACATACATCAAAATGATAAAGTTGCAAGCATGTCATCTGCGAAATTTGAGACCTTAAATCCAATTTTAAGGCAAGTTTTTGGCAGTTCAAAAACCATCCACGTCAATCTCCATGCTCTGGAAATGGGTGTGTGATTCCCAATGTATTCTGGGTAGGTGTAGGAAGTGCCTTGCAGCTTACTTGTTTTTTAATTGATAGCCAAATGAACACAGCGCCCTCTGTTAAAAAATGAAACATTCTACATTCACTCAGATCAACAAGAGGGCGCTGCTTTATCTACAAGATGAAAATGTTCTAGCTAGGGAGTTTTTTTGCACAATGCATTGCAGTACACATCAACGTGATGTCTCACGTTTGGATTTCGATAACTCTCTGCAAAAATTTGAATTAAAAGCTGAATTTTTGGTGATGCAATGCTCACAACAGCAACTTTGCGAGGCAGAAGTTTCGGGGATTATTGAGGAAACTGTAGTGAGTAAGAAGCTTGCAAATTTGATTCACACTGGTTTTATTATGCAGCACAAACTTTTGCATGATATGGATACCTTAAGTTTTGGGACTCTCATACACAGTATTGAGAGTCCCAAATTTTTGGACTAGTTCTAGGAGTACCCAAAGGTTACTCCTAGAACTATGAGGCTCCGCGTGAGCGGAGCCTCATAGATGTAGAAGCCCGCAAAATTGTCTGCAGCACAAAACACTAATAAAGTACAAAAACGTCCATCAAAATGCAGCCATTTCACACAGAACCGCTGCACAGTTTGCCCCTATACTCCGTACTTTACCTCTTGACATACTCACGTATCTTGGGCACAACTAACATAGGTGGATTCTGTCGGTTTTTAGGCCAAAATGATGAAAAATATGCCCTTTCCGCACTGAGCCAACCGAACACTTGAAACGTGCACGCATATGATCGAGCGATGATTTTCGGAGCGCGCCGCGGGGGGTACGGTGCAGGCGAAATGATAGTATGTGCATGCGTACAAGTGCATGTACCCCCCGCGGCGCGCTCCGAAAATCATCGCTCGATCATATGCGTGCACGTTTCAAGTGTTCGGTTGGCTCAGTGCGGAAAGGGCATATTTTTCATCATTTTGGCCTAAAAACCGACAGAATCCACCTATGTCTGTATGTTAGTTGTGCCAAAGATACGTGAGTATGTCAAGAGGTAAAGTACAGAGTATAGGGGCAAACTGTGCAGCGGTTCTGTGTGAAATGTCTGCATTTTGATGGACGTTTTTGTACTTTATTAGTGTTTTGTGCTGCAGACAATTTTGCGGGCTTCTACATCTATGAGGCTCCGCTTACGCGGAGCCTAGTCATAGTTCTAGGAGTACCCAAAGGTATGTAAACCTAACCACCATCATTTGTATTTTCACTTCCCACCGAAGCCTAGCCCTACAGGGGCGCATAAGGCAGTTTGAAGACCGTTTTAGGGGTGAAATCTGACGATTTTAATCAGGGGTACAAGTGAAAATGGTCAAACAAAATTAATAGTAACCGCAATAGGGCCGTCGATCTTGGACTCTACTATCGCCCGACCATGTCCAAATGTTAAAAAGCGATCCGTAGACATAGTTACTCGGACCATTCCTTCCTCCATGCTCGGACTAGTGGAAGTGTGGCCTTTGTTTACGGAGGTAGTCCAGTAAACTGGCCACATGGGGCTAGAACGAAGGTAGACCCGTGAACGTTGCTATATTCACGGGTAGTTCAACGCTGCACTCGGTAGTACTAGTACTAGTAGTAGTAGTAGTAGTAGAAGGCCTCCATACAATATTACCATACACTATTGTACACAATTGCGTCAGTTTGCAACCTTTTTTTTCCCAACATTCTTTCCCCAATGGACATTATTGCAAGAAAAAGTCGCTTACGTTACCTGAGTACAGAGTCGCTGCCGACAAAAATGTCCAGTAAACCCTTGTTCGTCCGAATTTCCCGTATCACATCAGGCGAGTGAATGCCAGATGCTCTCCCTCCAAAAACATCTGCGCGTATGTTAATGTTTGGAACTTAACCCCTGAACTATAAACGCTATACTTGTTTCCAGATGCATCAGCAAATAGTCCCGGTATCCCCGGTGTGGTCAGATCTAAAAATAAACTGCGTACGTGTACTTTCTGGTGTTAGCGCCCTCTCGCGGTATTACTCATGTATCAAAACGCAAGCCGTCAGGAACCAAGACTAGTAAATTACAGATTGCGCACATGACGACAGGGGTTTCCCCCTATTGCGAAACATAACTATTGCGAAACCAATTCTCGAAATTTACACAATAATACTCCTACTTCTTGCGGTGATAAATACTCACCTGGCGGTATTTCATTCAAATTTGGGATTTTTTACTGAGTAATGTCGACATCCTGAGATGAAAACCAAAAAAGAATAACCATCACCATAAAAATAAAAATGACAGCACTCTCATGGGCGTCGCGAGGGGGGGGGGGGGGGGGGGGACCCCGGAAAACGGAAAGAAAAAAAGGAAAAAGAGGTGTGAAGCCATATTGCTGTTACTTTGATGGGGCGGGGGAGGGGGAGGGCAAATGCTCCCCTGCTCACGCTCGGAAAAATGATAAATTGAGAATATAATGAAAAAGTAAAGGAATTTTGGGGGAAAATTTGCCTTGCCCACTGGAAAAAATCCAGGCTGGCGACGCCCATGAGCACTCTAAAAAAAAATAGTCACGCTTTGAGTTTTTTCATATATATTGGTATTCCGTTTAATTAACGGGCATAATTATACGTCAACCTTGTACATGTAATAAGCGAAAACAATGAAGAATCGTCACTCAAAAAAATAAAGACGTAAATTTCTAAATACGATTTATTCCAATTAAATATTCCATTTCATGTAGACAACAATAGGTAAGACAAGGTGTATCCCCGCAATAACTTGTTTGTGTACCTTACACCATGCTGGAGCAAAATTGGTCACTTAAGAAAGTTTCAAGTGGTGCCATCCCTACTTAAGAAAGGGTCAAAGGTCACCAGGGGTAAATAAACACCAATAATCATAACGTTGAGTGCAACTTGCATTCATGATTTGTGTAGATCAACAGTTTATCTTAGACCGATCACTGATCGATGCTAATAAGAACAGGATATATAGTGCAAAGTCCAATAAAAAAGGTCTTTAATTAGCGCTAATTACGCTTGTACTAATCATAATTACGAGTGCAAGTATAAAGTGTCACTGTGCCCCTTAAACCGTGCTGGAGCAAAATTTGTCACTTAGGAAAGTTTCAAGTGCATAGTGTCATCCCTACTTTAGAAAGGGTCAAAGGTCCATGGTTCAACATCCAGTCGCCAGCGATGGATGGGCAATGGCTCCTACATGATTCGAGGGACCACATCTCCCGGGAAACTTGGTCCCCAGCGATGATGATGACGACAACTGTGGCGACGAGAGCAGTGATAAAATTAATGTGTCATCTGATGACGAGGCGGAAGAGCTGGCTTCGGAGGAAGATTAGAAAACCCCTCCTGATCACGTGAAAGAGTCTGTTTCGTCGGGGAATCGGGGCCGTATCGTAAGTCCGACGCCTCATAGGTCCAACGCCTCATCAGTCCGAAATTTCTGACTTATTTCGAATTCATTTATTCCGTCTGATAAAAAAGGCAGAAAAACGAAGCGTCGGACATATGAGGCGTTGGAGCTATGGATCGGTACCAGAAAAGGTTTATTTCAAGGACAAGGCAAGAACTAAATTTAAAAAACAAAATACGACGAATTAAGTCCGCGAGGTTGTCTACTTACGAATGGCGCACTGTGCATAGCATGAACTAATCGGCCGCAGATCAGTCCGCCAACGCGCAGTTTTTGGTGCAAGGGTTGATGCTACGGGTATAAATCGGGGGGAGGGGGGGGGGTCTGGTGCATCCCTTATTGTCAATGTGTAATCGCTAACTCTGACAATTAGAGGCGCAAACATTCTGACATTTTACACAATGTTTGTATTAATTAATAATGGCTGGCGGACTTATGAGGCGTCGGACTTATGTACAGAAATAAAAATAAATTTAATTGTCGGACCAGCGAGGCGTCGGAGCTATGAGGCGTCGGACCTATGAGGCGTCGGACTTATGAGCGCACCGGAATCCCGTCAGTCCCTATGCCATTACGAAGTTTCGTCAAATATGAGTGTATTCTTTGCAAAAACAGCCTCACTGCAGTTTTTTTTTAACCCTATTCGTAGGAATGGTTAGAGTCATGTCACAGTTTACCTTGGCATGTTTACTGGTTACCGATTAGTTTCTAAGGAGGAAACAACGAATTTCCGTTAGCATCATGTTTCGAGAATCTTCCGGGTGCATGGTGTATCAAAAATGCATCTCCGTAAACAATTTGCCTCGTGTGATATGGACCACATCCCAACGGTCAAATCCAGGAGGGGGCTTTATTTTTTGTATCTTCAGCATGTTAAGGTAAGATTATCATACGGGCAGCGCCTTGTAATTTAGGAATTTATAATAAGTTAATAGAAAAAAAGCCCAATCAACTAAACTTCGTACTTCAAAGCATCCCATCAGCCAGTGTTAATGATATCATCACAATAAAGTTCTCAATATTGATTATTGTCAACTTTAATGCAAACCTTGTCTGAACTCAAAACTACTTCAATTTTTGATATAATTATAAACTCCGGTGATTTCGTATTCCTCATATTAAGCACGTATTACATCCATTCGTGATGGAGAGGGTATAGAGGTAATTAGTTGCACTCACTTTCATGAATGTTTGTGATATTGAAACATTTCATAAGTGGTGTGTTTTGTTCCTGCGTGGGGTAAAGTACACACTGACGGTCGTTTTATCAATTCACTCCTAATTATCATTCTAATTATTTATTAAACATGTAAATTAACTTCTTTTTGATCGGACGCTGCACTTCATAATTATCTTGGTCTGAATCATGTAATCAGTGATTGGTCCATAATGAACGGTTGATCTGCACATGAATGCAAGATGCACTTATATTGTTCTTATTGATGCTTATTCACCCCTGGTGACCTTTTACCCTAGAGATAACACCATGCACTTGAAACTTTCTTTAGTGACGAATTTTGCTCCAGCACGGTGTAAGGGTCACAGTGACACTTTAGTGCACGCGTAATTATGATTAAAAGCGTAATTAGCGCTAATTAAAGACCTTCTTAATTGGACTTTGCACTATATATCCTGTTCTTTAGCACATGATCAGTGATCAGTCTATGATAAGCTGTTGATTTACACCAAAAAAAATCATGAATGCAAGTTGCACTCAACGTTATGATTATTGGTGTTTATTTACCCCTGGTGACCTTTGACCCTTTCTTAAGTAAGGATGGCACCACTTGAAAAAAAAACTTTCTTAAGCGACAAATTTTGCTCCAGCATGGTGTAAGGTACATATTGACACTTGTTTTATCCTTGCACTCGTAATTAGCTGGCTTCTTATAAGTGGACTTAGCAAATCCTATTCAGTATACACGATATACTTTCGATCCATGAAGAAATTTGGTTTGCACTCAAGATTATGATTAAATCGAATTGTTGGGGGACTATAAGGGGCTCCCCCTCCCAACGCACCACTGGCGCAACTTAAGAAATCCCATTTTGCATTTGTCTCGGTCACTCCTACATATCCCACGCTTCAAACCTTTTGCACTCGAAATCATGATTGAACCTCACTGGGCTCCCGGACTATGGGGGGGGGGGGCGTGCCCCACGCCATCACTTCCCGACTACGCCGCTGCTCACAACGTTGTAGCTTAATTACGGATTAACCTATTTGCAGCACAATTACAAGTTTAGGCTACTATATTAAAGCAAACTACATAATAAGCAAGCAGATGATGAAAATATTAACTCAATTTTGTATCGAACGTTAAATTCATACTGAACGATATAAAATACAATGTAGTTAATAAAAAACATGCTGGTGATACTCATGATTTTTCTTTGAACACGATTTTCCCTAATGATTTTCAAATAGGCTGCAATGCTCAAAATAATTTTGCAAGTTTCAAGCGACATCAAACGATCTTTGATAGGATCCCTAGACTTTAGGGCAATCAAACTGCAGCAATTAAGTAAATGATAACATAATTTGTCGTATATTTCATAGGCGTTGCAGTGTTTTGTGCTTGCGCATGCCCACCTCATCCCCCTGAAGGTACAAACACGCTAATTGACATCAGGGCCTCTCACGAGGAGTGGGATAGAGGTTGTAACCTCTGCTCTCTATCGGCGATTCCAAGAAACCCAACGAAGTGGAGCGATATTTGTAATGTGTAATCTTCAGTTGTCACGTCAAAGTGCATCTTGTTTTCAACAGGCGGATTACTTCATGTCACACAACGTGCTTATCAGGAAACAAAGTCGCTTAAAACTTGCAATTTACCACTTTAAAAAAAAGAATCAATTGGCTCTCGGGCGAAACTAGGAATCTTTTACACGATTACAGGAAATTTCGAGAGTACGCTAAGACAAATTAATTTCCTTTAATTTGATTCTCTCAAACTTGTGGGTAGAAATCACAAAGCAATACAGCAATAAATAGTTTCAAAACGTTTTAAAATGGTATTCAGGGAACATTTACTTAAATATTTGTTTTAGACGTTCCCGGCCCCTTCCCGTTTAAATTGAGTCAAACTATTTGAATGTTTATATTCGCTCACGTCACCTAGACCTATTCGTTTTGATTTCCGAGCGAAAGAGTAATTAAATTTTAAAATATACATGTATATCTATATTATAACTCAACGCCTTGTCATACTTGCTTGTGCTAAATGAATTGTGTGATTGATTTCTAAAGCGTAGTACACCATAATGAAGCAATTACAGTAACACAACAAATCGTATGACAATTACAACACTAAATAATTACACGAATGTTCTGTGTATACGAAATCTCAATGTATATATTTTTTTTTAAATAGAAAGCGCAAAAGAGGAAATAATTCTAGTCTAAAGCCTTTATTGTAGATCGTGAGCCCCAAATATTAAAACTGACACATTTGAGCGACTCTATTTTTAACCTTAGACAGTAATTTTACCAATCCATAGATTCCTCTTTCGGGTCGTACTTGGGGCTGTTCTCAGAGTAGAACTGGGCGAAGAATCGGCGATGTTTCGCTATCAGATGATCCTCCTTCACAAACGGGGGGTTACGAACGTACTTCTTGTTGGCCCACACCGGAAGGTCACCCCAAATCTAGCAGAGGAAATCACATTACTATTAATTTCGAGGCAGGCAGTACTTAATGAGAAAGGCCTACGGACTGGGTAACAGGTATAGTGGGGATGGCGAAGCAAGGCTGATTTGGGCAGATTAACAGGCAGCATATAGGGTAGCCCGATAGACCATTATCATGTTGCGGCCATCTAGATTTTTTTCCATTCAAATCAACGTAAAGCGAGGCTGGAAGGAAAAAAGTCTGGTTCCTGTTTGCACAGAAAACATTATCATTCAGTACTGTTATTGGATACTGGGAACATGACTGAAATGGTGGCAGCATGATAAAGCTCTATAGGAGGCGGTCCCATTCCCTATGAGGTCCGGATTGGGCCTTGTTTATGAGTCGTCTTTAATGCATGTACATGTATCTGATTCATGTTATGCTTGGAACTTTTTTCTTAGATATTTTGTAAAAGTCTTGGGTTGATTCCATCATTTGTTTTTTACTCTGCGGTCACGATTCCTTTGACTTGCACAACAAGAAGCGAGAGTGGATCAATGTGGCTCCACAATGCTGTTTCCAAAGGAACACATACCAATGGGCCAATGATCTCGCCAAAAATGAGACGTATGGCGATCCGTGTATGTATGGTAATCAGGTGGTAGGGCAGACACGACAGTAGGCCTACGGGAAGTGAACACTCTAAATTCTAAAAAGTGAAAATTCACTCAATTCGAGTGAAGATTCACTCCCACAGTCGGAAACTAGGGACTAGACGTTTTAGAGTGATTTTTCTTCGAACGTAAAGATCGAGATTTCACTCAAGCTTCGACTGAAGTGGTTCATTTTTTCAGACAATGTCAATCGAAAATAAGACTGATTTTCACTCTAAAACGTCTAGTCCCTAATTTCACATTTTGGAATTTAGAGAGAATGACAGTACGGGCTGACACGGCTGAGGAGGAGGAGTGGCCATGGGCTCGGCTGGGGAAGGCGGAATTCTTACCTGGTAGTACTGTTCATACAAGGCCTTCTTGCCAATGTAGAAGGAGATTGGTCCTCTCCGGGTATACCCAGTGGTCACAATCCTCTGTCGCATGGGTCCAACAGGAGTGACGGATATTATCAGTTGAAGCTCACCCAGTACGGGACTGTCCAGGTGTAAAGTGGCGAAGCAGGGTCCTATCTGTCATGATCAATCGTCAGGCGAAACAGGATTATATACCTGTATCCAATTTAATTACCCTATAGGGGCTGGGGAAGGAATCCGCCCCTCAACTTTTTCCGAGATAGTCTTGAAAACATACTATTTAGCCTCGAGTCTTGCGCATCTTTTGATACCGAAAACATAAAAATCGGACCAAAAACCAAGTACCAAAAACCGTAAAAACTGATTTTCCCAATTAACGTATTGTGCACAAAGCAAAATAACCTATAGTCATGAAATGAATTGGGTATGTTCATGATAAGTTGTTCTATGCATGTACCGAGGTTTCAAAATTTTTCGTCGCTCGATGGCCAAGATCTTGGGGGGGGGGGCAGAATCCGCTCCCCCCCCCCCCCGGCTTAGAGATGGTCAAAATAGCCCGGCTCTTTTAGGGTTAACCTGTATAATAATAAGTTCCCATCGAATTTGCACCAATGGATGACATTCTGATGGGTCCATTGTAATCCATGAATGTGACATTGTATTCGTGGATGTCGACATTTGGCTTATATTGTACAGCAGTTAGCTTACATGTGCTAATCGTACCCCTTTTAAACTTTTGTGTTTATAAAAACCCTATATCCCCGACCTCAGGATGGGTTTAAAATGAGCTTGATGTGGCATATTCATCTATTCTACCCATACCTGCTCAATTTGGACGGTGTTTGCCGGCAGGTTGAGCAGACCAAAAAAATACGGGGGTTTGGTGGACATACGAAGTAAAGCCACATGCTTATCGGTAGGGTGTGGCTCCCAGCTGACGTCGGTAAAGTGGGCCTGACCAACGAAAGCCCTCCTGTTAGGAAAAGGGATACATGACTGTAACTTTTGGTTAGTTGTTTTTTTAGTTTTGGAAGTTTTGTCCAAGGAGCGAGGTCTCTCGACTTCGCTTGTTAATCCACTCCGCCCCATTCAAAGATAATCGTAACCAGTTTCCTTGTCTCTGCCGTTTGGGCTCGTCTTAAACGACTGGTGCCTGGACTACTGTCCTCAGACACTGATATCAGCAAATTTGCTAACTGGAAAGTGTCTGATTTCTCACTTCTTGAACCACATTGCGACTCCGGGATGACCTCTTCAGCAATGGAGTGAGGTGGAATGCAAGAATGCGTGCGAGGATCTTTCCAGCTAGAGCAGAGAGATACCTCGATAGTTTCAAAAGTTCGTCTTCTCACCTTTCTGGAATATAGTGACAATCAAGGCGTCACGAACATCAGTGGGAATAAATTCCTCTTCCCAGATCCGTATATAAAAAGAACATGCAACGTCTCGCAAGATTTGGGTCGGCAGCCTTGTATAATTCTGCCGGGATACCATCCAGGCCAACAGCTTTGCCATTCTTCATATCCCTGGTAGCTGTGAAGAACTCCTCAAGTGCCTGTGGTTCATCAAGATCACGATCCTTTATCGGAAGTTGAGGCAGTTTATCTACTTCGACATTGTCTACAGAGAGCAGCTCACAGAAATGTTCTCTCCACCTATCGCAAATATCAGGCATGTCCTTGTGAAGAGTGCCATCCTTGCCCACACACCATGGGATGTTGGACCACATGCGAAGAAGACTCTGTTGTTGTTGGTATCGAATAGGACTTGGATTTTTTATCGACTCTTGCTCCCACCATGCAGTTGTTTTCATCTCACGAACCCGGTACTGGATTTTGATCTCATTTCGTGATATTGCGGTTTCTTTCTGTCATTTCTGATGTCATTCTGCCAAACAAGGAAATCTCCTGCGCTTCTCATTAATGATCTGCTCTATCTCTGCGTCTTTGTCATCAAACCAGTCCCCGTTGTGTAGCTTCTGAGTACCCAACGTCTCATCACAGGTTGTTTCGATGGCAGTCTTCAGACCTTCCCAGAGACATTCCACACTGGTGTTTTCTACATTCAGCAGAGCTTCACTCATTTTTGTCTGGAACTCATCTCGTACCTCAGGTAGGTCGAGTTGCCCTAAGTTGTACTTGGTCATATTCTGTTTCTTTGCTTTTCTCTGTTTTTGGGCGGAGGACAAAGGACAATATGAGGATCGTACGAGCCTACATGATCGGTCCAACACTCACCGGTGACATCATTGTCTTGGTGATAAAAACGTCTTTCCTGTCACTACTGTATATAAGACATAATCTAACATAATGCCAATGGCGTGATCTGGGATGTCTCCATGATGTCTTATTCCTATTTCTTCGGACGAAGAGGGTGTTTGTGATCGACAGCTGGTGCTCCGCACATTGTTGAAGTCACCAAGTAGAATGATCTTATGGCTGCGTGGTACCTGTGTTAGCACAGAGTTAAGTGCTGAATAAAATTATCTTTGTCTTCAGGCTCGGCCAACAAGGTCGGTGCATAATTATGCGGAGATCAGTACGTGTCGCTTGTTCGTTGGAGTTGAGTTTAATACCAGTTGATTTGAGTTTAACACCAGACGCTCGTTAACACCAACTGGGAGCTCCTACAAATTCCTGACCTACTCATTCTTGATGGCAAATCCAACACCATGAAATCTCTTTTCGTTCTCCTCTTTCCCCTTCCAGAGTACATATCCTGCTTCTATTTCTGTCAGTTGTCCTTCCCCGGCGCGACGGGTCTCTTGAAGCTCCGCAATGTCATACTGGCGAAGCTCTCGAGCAATGAAAGCCGTTTGTCTCTCGGGTCTCTCACTATGTTCATTTTCCATCAGAGTTCGTACATTCCATGTACCGAAATGTAATTATTGCTTTCTTTGTTTTGGACCGCGTAGAGGTGATCCCACTGGGTGCGGTATGCCAGCCAGTACATGCGGAACAGGCTATGGTTAAGAGTACCTTTTCTAACCGCTCCCACTTGTGGGGTGAGAATAGTGGATCCTGAAAAGGGCCGCTCAGCCATGGAGGCTACTACCGAACTACTCTTCTGTTTCCAAATCCAAGAGCAGAGCCACGTGACTTGACCTCCACCGCCTACGTGCTGGTTTGCAGTTGAAAGCTCCCAGACTTCACGATCCTGCTCCCTTCACTGCTGACCAATCGCCGCAGGACTTTAGTTTGTACCAAAGTACCAAGTAGAAGCTGTGCGTGAATTTTGTATGCGAGTATAAAGTTGCACGTCGACAAAGTTCCCACAAACCTTGACATCACTTGCCCTGATTCCAATGGCAAGGGTACCTCGACGACTGCAGGACAAGTTCAGCTGCAGTGGATGGCGTTGGCTCCAAGGGAGCTCATCCGCCCTTTGTAGGTCTTGTTTTTTCCTAACCGGGTGTCCATATACCCTCCTCTCCAGACCGAGCCTGGAGAGGTTGCCGGTTTAGTCGCCGACGGCCCGACCAACCCTAACCCTAGTTTGGGGTCAGACTGCCAATCATGACTAACGAGCTCTGCCTGCCCGGGTTTGCGACAGAGTTTTCCTTCTCCTAGGCAAACTTCCGACCTAGGCTAACGAGCTCTACCAACCCGGATTGGTGATCGGAGTTGTCTTCCTGCCGACCATGCAAGCTAATGAGCTCCACCTGCCCGGAGTTGAGTGAGTACCAGAGATTACACACACGCACTCAATTTCAAATTTTAATAAACTGAGTTAAGACTGAAACATTATTTTTCTGCCAAGTTTGGTTTTCTAATGTGGAATTATTAAAAAAATAAGTTTTTTTTCATTGTTTTTAAAGGGTATTTATCAATATTTGCGGTGGGAAAGGTAAAACTTCCTTACTCGCAACTGAGAAGCTGAATTGCGAAGGACGAGGCTACAACGTGGCCGAGCCGAAGGCATGTAAAGGCTCCTTAGACTGCCTTTTTACGACCCATGTCTGACCACGGAGCAGTGGCACAGTAGAGAATCAACGAACAACTCTACTCATATATGGTCCGATCCGGGAATCAGACCCGGGCCACAGTGGTGAGAGGCGAGCACGAACGCACTATAGCCACCCATGCCACCCTACGGTAAAGGACCAGTGGACAGCTAAAGTTTGTGGCATATTTTGACCTAACTTATGAAAGAAGCGTGCAAATTACTCGAACTATTCACAGTATATAGTTAATAACGTCAGGTACTTTATTCCTATGCTATTTTTTTAATGGAGCGAGTCACATATTTAAAAAAAAAAAAAAAATGTCGACTCACGCCGTAAGCGAAGAAGAAATTAAGTTCCTTTGTTCAACGGCAAAGTAACGCAAAAATAATAATCTCTTTCCTTAATGAACTCACGGCCCGTGAAGGTAATCTAGATGGGCAACATCAGCTCCGTTTTCAGGGGTGTCCTGATGAAGAGAAAGAAGAAAACGAGTTGGCAATTTCCAAGCGAAGAATAATGTACAAACCCTGTGTAACTGTCTAACATGAACGTGGCAGAAACATAAAGAAAAGCTCAAGACTTTTTGACTTACAAAAAATATCAATCGATAAACAGTGTGCACATCAATGATTTACCAGCAGTGTCATTGACTTTAACATCTGTAATCAGTCTTTCCCAAATGACATCAGGCCGAAAAAGGCTCTGACTAATGTCTTATCATTTAGACTGAAGGACTAACCTCGTTATGGCTGTCGAGTTCGCAAACCGTGAAGCCAACAGGTTGAAGTTTCCCATTAGTTAGATGTTCGAGCTCCGGGACTTGCCAGTCGGGCTCCTTGCCTTCAGCATGGTACCACAGCCAGATTCTGTGATTGACTTCGCAGGACTGGTAGGTGGGGATCTTCACAAAGTCGGGTACTGTCGGGATTTGATAGCACTTTTACTGATGCGTCAGTGTTACATCGTGACTTTCGATGTGAAGAGTTTTTTTTTTCAAAAGACGATAAATGCCATTTTACCTTTTAGAAATCCACACCCTCTCATGGCTGTCCAAAGTCACTTTTGACAGCTTTTATGTAGTTTAACACAACTTGCTCAATTAATAAAGCGAAAGGTGAAGTTTAGAAACGGCTGTCATAATATATTATTTAAAAGTTTCATAATCGTTGAAATGTTTCTCTTTAAAAAAAAAATGGATATACAATGTTTTGAAAAAAATCAACATGTATTCTAACTATAGGATTATTTAACCCAACATTCAAAAGAACTCAACCCAACTCAACCAAACCAAACCAACTGGGCGGAATTAAATCCAACCCAATCAACACAGCCTATCCCAACCCAGCCCTACTCCAAACAGACCAAACCTAACAAACCGAACCAACCCAACTCAACCCTGCCCCGACCCAACACAGCCTATCCCAACCCTACCCAACTAAAGCACAACCCAACCAAACCAGACCTAACACATTGTAGCCCATCTCATCCAAACCTGTTTCATCCCAACCGGCCAACCCAACCAAACACAACCCAACCCGACCCAACCAAACCAAACCCAACCCGACCCAACCAAACACAACGTCATTTGAAAGGGACCTATTCCATTCACCGTCCTATACGTTCCGAACCACTCAACGCAGCCCGCAACCCGACCTGAGCTAACCAGCAACAAAGCTATGTCACATATAGTTCCAATCTATCTGTGGTCCAAAGTCGCTTTATGTAGCCAAATTCCCATATTTTCCCATTTGACCCGTTCTATGTATTAGATAAGTTTGATTATGTTCCGGCAATAAAAAATAAATAAACAAATCTCAGTGTGTTGGGTGATTACCCTTTAAATGAACCCCTAAGTTAAAAGAAAGTTGGCATTGGATACTTCGCACAATGTTTTCATTGATAAATGTCATGCTAAAAAGCGTTGTTAATATGCACCTTTTTCAGCGTATCCAATATGGACGCACTTGCCGTCTTCTCCCCGGTATCTCCAGCCATGGAAGGGACATTCGATACATTCACCGTGTACTGAGCCACCTATGGCCAGATTGGCGCCTAGATGAGCACAGTAGGCGTCAACGACGTAGGGCCGCCCACTTTCTCCTCGGAATACCACCAAGTTCTTACCTAGAAAATGAGAGGGAGCCGGTACTTAAATGGCCAATAATAATGAAAAGTGTATACCTTGCTTGACGTTGTGGAATCACTTAGTTTGCGTGGGGTGAGTCTCCATATAATTCATTTATTTCAACTTAGGTTAGTTTTTCAGTGGGCCTACCAGCAACGGCAACGAATTTGTGTTCCTTCTTCTTCAATTCAGACGACATCAGGATAGACATCCAGCCATTCGGGTAGACAGGGGGAACGTCTCCAACCTTCCGACATCTCTTCAAATCCCGCACTCGTTCCTCAGCCGATTTGCCGTCGGCTGGGCCGTCCACTAAATACGTATATTTGGTCTCGTCGCAGTAGAGTGCCAAGGGCTCAGTCACCGCCTTGTACAGCTGAACAGCCAAGTAAGTCAGCACGGCAGCAAGTCCGTAGACAAGAACAAACTTGAAGTCAGAACTGTGGGCGACTTGGTTGATTTTCTCAGACACAACCTCAACTGAAATGTTGGCATTCTGGACGTGATTAGCGAGCTGCTTCGCGTAATCTTCAAGAATCAGAGGACGGGTGACTAAACCTGCTAAGAAAACTGGCAGGATGAAGGACAAAACTCCAGCTTTTGAGACGGCCATATCTAGCTGAACCTACTATAAAACTCGGTAATGGTGTGCGCCTAAACTGATCGCTCAACGGCAGTGTAAAAGTTAAGGTCAGCGTTGTAATTAATGGCCACCTCAGTCATCTTTGATCGTAAATGGGACCAACGAACTGTAGGCCAAACAAAAAATGAATATTGTTTCTCATCTCGCCACACGTCAATTTTGATATTGTAATTGGTTACTTGCCAATGGCTTTCGTGCACAGCCGCAAAGATTTTTTTTTTCTGCTTGGAGTCGCTCAGACGACAATAAACTTATCAAAGCCCGAGAGCTTTTGACCAAAGTTCAGTCTATTTCTATTTCTATTTCGCCGCACTCTGAAAAGAGGTTATTTGATTGACCTGATGCTAAAATTGTATGTACTTCATATTATTTTTCTTCAATAACTGCTACCCCTTAGGCACGTAGGCTATTTGCTAAGCACATGCACTTATAAAAACCACAGATAAGGACATCAAAAGTCGTCTTCAATTTTCTAGTAGTATATTCCGCACTTTGTTTTTTTTTAAGTTTAAACCGCCTGATTCAACACTGATACCGGTATGGCATAGAAATGCCACAGAGAACGTGGAAGACAATTCTCCGAGCTATTTTGGAGTTTTATCGCAAAACATTCTTTTCAGTGAAAGTTTCATTCAAAAGTTATTCACTTTAGAAAGAGACATCGACCGACAATATCGGCACATGTTTATTTAGTGAATTACACTTACACGTATTACGTTCTTTCGTGGTAGACTGGTTCCCGCCCCACAATCAGTATCCATAAAAAAAAAGATTCGCCTACAATTTTGGTTCCTAACTTGCCAATTCCAGCCAAACATTACTTAATGTTTTCTTACAGGAATATCAGATCATATGATATATAAAGCAAATGGTGTGTTTGTTTTTAATTTGATCGGAAAATTAAAAGCTTTTAATGGTAAATCCAAAGTGGAAATGAAGCCGAGCTTGGAAAAAGGACCATCTTGATGATTTTCAGACGTCAGGACAAAATTGTCAGGTCAGGGAACGAGACTTTTTGGCATGTGGCAACGGAACCTTTGTCCCCACCAGGCTTCCATAAAATAAACCGTTAACAATGTGTGACGTCATCAGAGGCTTATTCTGTACCTTTACAGTTGATGCCTGAAACCAAAGGCTAAGCCCCCCCCCCCCCGAAAAAAAAACCCGCGGAAATGAAACACACATATATTTATAAAGATGTCCAATCAGCTTTGTTAAAGGGAAATACAACATTTGCAAACATCGAAAAATAAAACTACCAAGTTGTTACAAAATACCTTACTAGGATGTTGCCACGCATCGATTTCGATACTGTTGGTTTTAGTTGTACTGGCTTCTGTGAATATAGGCTTCACAGATATGTTTGCCGTACGTAGTCATTAAAAAGACCACTATAAAATTGTGAAAGCACGACAGCTTATGAACATCAGGCAGGCTTCTAGCGCACTTTGAAGACTACGTATTTCATCGACCTTAACCCTAAAAGGGCCAGAGGGCGGAATCCGCACACCACCTTTCAATATTTCCCGCGATACCTTTGCAAAAAAAGGCCCCGACCCTAGCTTTCCTGACTTTTAAGCCTCGAGTCTTGCGCATCTTTTGATACCAAAAACATAAATGCCGAGCATGGGTAAGCGCGTAGCGAAAATAATTTCGGCGCTATACGCGCCGCAAAAACTGAATTTCCCCATAATGTACACAAAGCAGAATTACCATTGGTGCATATGAATAATTAATTAGCCATAATTCCAAAACCCTCTCACCTATAGCCATGAAATTTCTTGGGTACGTTCATGTTAAGTTGTTCTATGCATTCACCGAGTTTCATAATTGTTCGGCACTCGATGGCCGAGATCTGAGGGGGTTGGTCACTTGCTAATGCATATTTATTTTACAGTTTTGGTGCCGAGTTGGGGGGTGCCGAGTTGGCAAGGTGCCGAAATGTTCGGTTACAGTACAGTGGAGCCCTACCTTGACATCATAAAAAGAAAATGGGCTTGTAGCAGATGTTCCCTGCAGCTTTGGTTGTGCTTATGGCTTTCAGCAGGGGGGGGGGGGGGGGGCGTTTTAACTTTTATTTTGTTAAGGCTGAAACCCCCTGTAGTTTAGTTCTCGATGTTGTAGATTGTTCTGAACTTCAAAATTAGTCAAAATTTACCAAAATAAGTGACCGATCTTTATGGCTGGAAACCAGCCATAGTCATGGCTGGAAACCATAGTCACGGTTTATCTGGGGATAGCAGTACTGAGATGGCGCCACGTTTGCGTGCGTATATTGGGGGCGTTCATAGAGACCAAATAGACGTACGCGTTAGGGATACGTAGGCCTATACGGTTTCGAAAAAGTGACCTTCGGAGTCAACATCTATTGAGATAATTTCATCGAGACTTACATAATACATTTTAATGTTTTGATTTGAGATGTACATTGCCGATGAAATAGCAACGCAAAATGGTGATTAGGCGACTTTTTTCCGAGCTGCATACATACGTCTCGCGTGGACGGACCATTTATAATGGTACCGATAAATGAATAGTCTGAGTATCTTCTGTTGTTGAATGGAGCCCTCTCCGTAATCAACGTGTGATACATTTATCTGATCGAGCAAATGCTTATGCGACCCCAAGCGCCAGCCAATCGAAGTTGACTGTAAAGTTGTGACGTCATTTTGATTAGAAACGTGGATTAAGCTGTTGATTGGTTAATTTGACTGCTATGTTTTTGTAATACTACGACGGGTTACACCCGCTAAATGGTCAGAATCTTGAGTTTAAGACACAGTCTTGTTTTGCATAATTAATCGCCGGATCTGTTCGCATATCATAGACCCTTGCTGTAGATGTCGTCCAACGGGTTACCGAAGACTCGATATCATAGGCGCCCGCTGAATGGTCAAAATCTCGAGTTCAAGACACAGTCTAGTTGCATAACAAATCGCCGAATCTACTTGCATATCATAAACCCTTGCAAGGGAATATTCCACAGACTAATAATGAGGCGAGCTAGGCCGAAAACCCAATCTCACAACACGTGTCAGAGGCGTAGCCAGCGAGGGCTTCCTTTGGAAAGACTGCCTTTTACCATTCAAGTTCCCCCTTTTTCACCAGTGCCCCCCCAACAATATATCCAATGAGTGCCCTCCCCCCTCTTTTTTGTTTAGTTTAACAAGTGACCTTGTTTTGAGGGGTTATTTTAAGTGTCATTTGGGGGTTAAAAAAGTGCCTATTTTTTACCAGTGGTCGTTACGAGTGATGGTTTAATCCACGCTATAGCGTACAATATTACGTGGAAACTAATTTAATCATTATTTGTTTTTCCCTAAAACAAATCTCTACAACTAGCATTGTTCTAAATTATTTCTGGCGCAGTTCTATGGGGGGGGGGGCCTGGTCCAACAAATCTCCACTTTTTTGTTATATTTTTAACGAATGGGTGTTCTTCTAGCTTAGTGTTTCTCCCCCACTCCTCCAAATTATTAACACTATCGGCTAACCATTTTAATCACCTAAAAACTTTACTCTAGAAGCGCGTTTTCTGAAAGTTAAAAGTCTAGTCATCGCTCTAATATTTTTCTTATCGTAATTGCAGTTCTTAAATCTTAGTCTTAAAAGCATTATGACTTGTTTTTGAAGTTTATAGATGATCACAATTAAAGTTGTTCCTTTGAATGGAGAAATGAACATCTGTATTAAATGTTCGGCTTTAGTTGAGGCCACATGTATATGCGATAAATACAACGAGAAAATGCCAGCAATAATTTACCTTGAACTGTCAAAGTACTAATATATGTTGTTTTGCACACATAGTTTGACCTCGCAGTGAGGTTACCGTGATTGTTTGTATGGTTTTTGTGTGACTATACAAGTTATAGAGACACACAACTTGCTATATAAAATGAGGGCTATGAATGCCGCGCTGTGCTCGTTGGTGTTCAATGAACCTGAACTATAAGGGCCGACTTTTGCACTACCACGAATAGACAACATCTGACGACTGACACGATGGGTGATCACGCTGGCAACATTCACGCTGTATTTCCTCGTTCTTGGACCAATGTTCAATTTCAGCATATTGTATTTGAGTCTTCAGGGCGAATTCGAGTCCGCTGCGGCAATAACAGGTACAAATCCAATTTTGTTTTCTTTTAACATCCAAGCAGCAAAGCACACAAACTTTAAAACGGTCTCTGCAGAGACCGTTGTTAAATCACTCTCTCTCTTTAAGAGCGTTTTGTTCTGACGAAATGACCCATCAGGCTTGATGATAAAGTATTTAGGTTTGGTCTTAGTATTGAAAAAGGTGTCAAACAAATTTGATTTTGCGTCAGCCTCTGGAATCCTCTTAGACCCCCTTTACACAGGGTTGCGACTTTTGGGCCTCCCTTGTGCGACCATAAAACTAGCCAGGTTGCCGTTGGAGGCTCAAAGGAGGCGAATGGTTGCCTAGGTCGTTCAAAGGTGGTACACAGGATGTTCAGACATCGCCATGGTTGCCATGGTCGCCGTAAATGTTTGAAAATTTGGATGGATGCACAATGGTCGGCTAATGGTCGCCACGTAATAGATCCGTTCTTTTGCAAATTTCACCATCAATCTGGGCGATATGCTTCTGCCTCCCTTGTGCCTCCTTTGGCCGACCAATAGCGTGCATTGAACGATGACTGTGGTGGCCGATGTGCCTCCATTTCGGCGTTGGTTGCCGTAGGTTGCACAGGGTAAGCACAGGGGAGGCAGGCAAGTGGCTAAGTGGACGCACAGGTCGCTCGTAGCTCGACATGAAAATGCCCGAAAATTGCAGTTTTGGTGGTTCAACGGAGGCACAAAGATCGCTGAAGCAGTTACATAGAAACAGGATTTTGGGGGGGTTTATGCGACCATTGAGCGTCCTGGCCATTTTGGCCGTTCATAGCTGGTACAAAGGTCGCAGCCCTGTGTAAAAGGGTCTTACTTTAGAAACTGACATATAATTGATATGCGTTAATTTTCTTTGGAGCTGAATTGAAAAAGAAAAAAAGTCAAGGATTTTAGTGTCCAAAAGGGCATCTAATTTGGGACGACGATGTGTCTTGGAGTCGTATGTTCATGTATCTTCTTTAATTATGCAAATTCTTTGTATACATTTTGTGTGCAACAAAAT